CAAGTGTGAGTCTTGGTAGGTAAGAAATCTTCTTTTTTTTCTGTTACCCAGGCTGGAGTGCAGTGATGTGATCTTGGCTCACTGCAATCTCCTCCTCTCGGGTTCAAGCACTTCTCCTGCCTCAGCCTCCTAAGTAGCTGGGATTACAGGTGTGTGCCACCACGCCCAGCTAATTTTTGCATTTTTAGTAAAGACTAGGTTTCAGTAAGTGAGAAGTCTTACATTTTATGTGCTATTTGTGGCTTTACCACTTGCAAACCATAAGTGATCAGTTCTAATTACTAACGTAAACGTTCTTCTTATTAGTAGACAGGGGTTAATCATTACTCTCCTAACCATTAATAGTTCACATAGTCGTTGGCAAAATCAAATAAGATGAAGCATGTGGAAGTAATTGATGTGCCAAAACATGCTAAGCATGAAATATGGATTTATTATTATGTAGAACCTCACTGGGACTCACATATATGAAAAACCGATTAATCTTGTGTTTATTCTACACTAGATTAATCAGTATAATAGTTTAGTAGCAATCATTTGAGCATACCCTTAAAAAGACCTTGTATAGAAGATACACCTGAATGTGAGTTACAAGCTAGGGGATTGGGAGGAGCCAACCCAAAGACTGGTTCCTTATCTATGATAAGCACCTGAGCCTCTCCCACATCGTGTGGAACACAGGCCATCCATACAGGGGATTAAGGCCCTCAGTTTTGTAGTAAATGAAGGTTGCCAGGCAGAAGTTGCTAGGAGATTGTTCGGTGAAAATACTACATAAACTACATAATGTCAGCAGGTCGTTGTAGTTTTTCTGCCCAGCCCTGTGCCACTGGACTGTGTATGTTAACGGTGGAGGGTGTCCAGGTTCTTGGAGTCTTAAATGAAGAACTGGACAAAAAACACAGGCAAAGCAAGGAAGGAATGAAGGGTTTTATTGAAAATAAAAGTACACTCCCCAGTGTGGGAGCAGGACTGAGCATAGGGACTCAAAGTCCCTGTTACAGAATTTTGGGAAGATTTAAATACCCCCTAGAGGGTAACCAATACCCCATTGGTTACTTGGGGTATACCCTATCTAAATGGAGAGGATGAAGTAAAGCTACAAGTCATTTATGGGATATTCCCTATGGAAAGGATATTTCCTGTTATAGCCGAAGTGTGAATGGGCCTTATTTCCCTGCCTCTAGACCTTATTTTCCATCCTCATCTTCCACCTGAGAGATGTGATCCCCGTAAATCTTTATGGGAGGCAGAGGGTTCAACGGTAGGAAGACAGATATATTGTCCAGCCCACCACTGGACTCTCTCCCCATCATTACGCCCGTAATAAACCCTGTATCTCATTGCTGGCCTTGGATTTCTTCTTCAGCCTCTTGAACCTGGTGCCTTTCCTATTGAGGTTAACAGAGGTTTGGCACATCTGTGGTTTCCACCTAATGTCTTGTATCACATTTGATGTAATTGTTGGCTGTTGCTCATGGCTTTGGCTTCTGTTTAGGCCCCTCTCCTTGATTTCTCTCTTTCTCTCTGTTACATTTTAAATTTATTTTTTAATTGACAAAAATTGTATTTATTTTTGGTGTACAACATGTTTTGAAATATGTGTACATTGTGGAATGGCTAAATAAGGCTAATTAACACATACCATACTTTGCATGCTTATTTTTTTGTGATGAGCCTACTTAAAAATCTACTCTCAGCAATTTTCAATATTCAATACAGTATACTTTTATTAACAACAGTCACCATGTTGCAAAATAGATCTCCTGAACTTATCCCTCCTATCTAAACTGAAATTTTGAATCCTTTGACAAACCTCTCCCCAGCCCCTGATCTCTGCTTCTGAGTTTTACTTTTTTAAATTCCACATAAGTGAGATCATGTGGGATTTGTCTTCCTGTGCCTGGCTTATTTCACTTACACCTTCAAAGTTCATCCATGTTGTCACAAATGGCAGTGTTTTCTTCTCTTTTAAGGCTGAATAGTATTTATATATATCTTATATTTTCTTTATCCATTCATCAGTCCATGGGCACTTAGATTGATTCTGTATCTTGCTATTGTGAATAATACTGCAATGAACATGGCAGATATCTCTTTAACATACTGATTGTATATCCTTAAGATACTTACCCTGTGGGGTTGTGGGATCATATAGTAGTTCTATTTTTAATTTTTTGAGAAACCTCCATGCTGTTTTCCATAATGGCTACTAATTTACATGTCCACCAACAGTGCACAAGGGTTCCCTTTTCTCCATAACCTCTCCAAATCTTATCTTTCATCTTTTTGATAGTAGCCATTTTGACAGGTATAAGACAATATCATATTGTAGTTTTAATTTGCATTTCCTTGATGATAAGTAATGTTGAATTTATATATATATGTAAAATGAGAAATACATATTAGGGTCCTTTGCCCATTTTTCAATTGGATTATTTGTTTTCTTGCTATTCAACACAGTTTATTGAAAAGGTTATCTTTCCTTCATTATTGAAAAGGTTATCTTTCCTTCAGTTGATTGCTTTTTTACCTTTGTCAAAAATCAGTTGGGCATGTCTAGGTGGGTCACTTTTGGGGTTCCCTGTCTGTGTCATTAATCTTTGTGACTATTTCTGCACCTATATCTCACTGTCTTGGCTATTATAGCTATATAGTAAGCCTTAATATGAGGTAAAGTGATTCCTTCCACATTCTTTCTCTTTTTTTTCAGAATTGCTCTAGCTAAATCTGAGGCCTGGAACTTTTTTACCTTTGTCAAAAATCAGTTGGGCATGTCTAGGTGGGTCACTTTTGGGGTTCCCTGTCTGTGTCATTAATCTTTGTGACTATCTTTGTGTCTTCTAAAATTCGATATAAATTTTAGAATGAGCTTTTGTGCACCTACAACAGGCTTGCTGAAATTTTGATAGGAATTGCAATAAAGTTATATATATTCATAGCTTGGGAGAATAGATGATGTCTTTATTACATTGAATCTTCAAGTCCATTAACACAGTATGTTTCTCTATTTACTTAGGTCTTTGACTTCTTTAAGCAGCATTTTATCATTTTCAGGATACAGATCCTGCATAAGTTTTGTTAATTTATACCTAAGTATTTCACTTTTTGTAACAATTATAAGTGGTAATACTATTGGTAATTGTAAATGGTAATGTTAAATTAATGAGTGTTCTCTAAGAGACCTGTCCCAAAACATAACAAAGAAATGTAAGGTTAAAAACAGGCCAGAAAGATGTCTGGTCATAGTTGATGCTTTATGTGATAATATGTCTTCCTGCCTGGAGGAGCTGGAACTGAGGCACCCTCCCACTGAAGTTGGTGACCAATTGCAACTCCAAGTTTTATCTAGGGATCTTTCTTATATTCTTTGACTCAATATCTGAGCTAAGTGACCTTGAGCTAGTTCTTCAGTACTCTGAAATTTAATTTCCCTTATTATAAAATAAAAATGATAATGTCTTCTTTACAAATAATACTGAGTACATGCAATTAAAAGAGACAACATATGTAAAAGTATCTGGCACATAATAAATGATCAAGAAATGTTTCCTTTTTTTTCTCTCCTCCCTTACTTTCCTCCATCCCCCCTCCCTTTTTATTTCCTTTTCTCTTTTTCCCTTCTCCTTATTCCTGATTCATGCCACCTGGCCAGTTTTGTATGATGGGTGAGCATGTTTTCTATGCTCCCATCTAGGGAGGGCTGTTAGTCTAGCAGCAGCTTGGCTGGTTGAATTGGAGGCTGACTCCCTGATTTCCAGCGTGTCCCCCAGAATTCCTCTACCATATATCATTCGGCTGGATGATGTAATGATGAAGATTATTAAATAATGAAGTCAATTTCTTCCATCTAAATTCTTTACGCTGAGCAGTTCAGTGAATTTTAACACATCATGAGCCACCTATCTGTGTTTTCACAAAAGGAAGCTGGTCTGTGATAGTTACTTATGATAAGGAGACCTGAAAATGCCTCTAACAAGTAGCTGAAGCCCCTCTGGCCTTGTATGATTTGGTTGTGGGCCTCAGCAAAATGCAGAATGTAGAGCTGCAAGCTCATAATTTGATGCGAAGACTATCCTGGAGTTCTTGGGCCAAGCCCAGAGCAAGGCTGAGATGAGACTGAGCCAGTGGACGTTAGTCATCCTCCTGGTGGAATCCATCCTATACCAGGGATGGCTTTATGTGGAGACCCCAAAGAAATGAGGCAAGGGGAAATAATTTCTCCTTTAGAAACTCAAATTAAACTGGAGCCCCTCAAGAGCTGATTATCTTTCTTCTCCCCATTCAACAAGTGTTCATCCAGGTAATTTGGAGTGATCCCTCCTCTCCTAGCCCCAATATTAGCTACCTAGCCCCAATATTAGCCAGGTGGATGCCACAGCGCTGGCTTGGGCCTCAGAAGCCCTTGAAGCTGCAGGCTGGTGCATCTGCTATAGCATCCTACTTGTCAGGTGACCAATTCTCCTAACTGGTCAGCAGCTTGGACAGATTATGTCATCCTCTGTCCTTCACCCATGGGTGTCAAACCAAGATAAAAATCAAGGATTAGAAAACATCCTGTGCGACCCTAGCCTTGAAGGATGTCTCATGAGAAGAAAAAACTTTTGTTGAAAATCTGCTTATTTTGCATTCAAAATAAAAATGCTTCTTTGATATTGCATTGGCTTAGGATGCAGAGAGGCACAGAGATAGATCTTCACATTGCTTTTGGTTATTATTAACATATTTTCATTTTTCTCCAAGGGCTGCTTGTTCCAGTGATAACTTCTGTCCTAGAGTTTCCCCCTTCAGATTACCCTAGTGGAAGTCATTAGAGTGGTAGTATTTAAAGCAGATTAGTCAAGAAGAGTCCGTTGGCCTCTGCCATGTGACTGCCAAATATCTCATGTGCCCACTCTGAACTCACCTCATTTGGACACCTCCAGAGATGAATGTCTAGTGCAATGGTCCCTGATCACAGTGAGCTCACCCATGCTAATCTCTTCCTCTTCTTTCTGCAGCAAGGATTGAAAATAGTTCACCACGCAGAGAAGACACTGTCTAGCTTCTGCAAGTGGCAGAAGAGTATCAATCCCAAGAGTGACCTCAACCCTGTTCATCACGATGTGGCTGTTCTTCTCACCAGGTACAGCAGAGACTATGTGGAACTCAGGGGCAGTAAAGCAGGGAGGACTGGCAGGTGAAAGGCTTACCAGATATTCAAACCCATGACATTCTCATTATTCTTTGCTGCTCTCATAAAGACAGTGTCTTTGATCTAGTCAACTCCTGACTTCCATATCAGTAGAGGAAACAGCATAACAAACCTGCTAATACGACAAAGCTCTCCTTGTTAACAAACTGCATCTGCTGGCAAAATACAGCCATCTTTCCCATCTCACTGATGATTTCCTTTTAAAACTTCATGTAGCTCCATAAACCAGCAGAAAGCTTGTTTGCAGAGCTTCATTAAAGACTCCTGTTACTTTTTACCAGTGGGATTCCCAATCCTTTGCTTTTTTATTTTTCTCCAATTTAGAAACGTGAAATATCTTTACAGAAATCAGTCTACTTTTTAACTGTTTGACGTTGAGGATAGGATATGGGGAGCAGGTCCCCGTTAAGTAGGCAGACTGGTTTGGTTACACTTCTCTCCTTTTTACTCCCATGAGAATATCATTTTGTTCTAATCACAAATAGAGCATATAGTGCTAATAAGAATGATCAAACCTTCCAGGACTCATAGGTGTAAAAATCCGGTGAACTTTCTGATCAACTCTTGCTCTTTGAATGCTATGCTTTCTCATTGATTCAATAAATATTTACTGAGCACCTGCTATATACTAGGCACTATTTTAATCTAGATGAAAGAAGGACTTATATTAAATGGGGTAAAGTAAATTCTTCTTGGGCTCCTGTGCAGATTTGTCCAGAAATCCAGGGATGTATAGTAGAGGAGGCCTCTTAGCCCTACCCTCCAACCACAGAGAACCTCAGCACTGAAAGACCCTGGGTGTGCACTGTCCCTGTGGAGGATAGGCTGCCTGTGAACATTTTGGCCCTGTGATCTGGCCCTGTGATAGGATCATTTCAAAGCATAGGGTGCCTACAAGGAAGGATAATCAGCCCCTACCCTATCCAAATGTCTACCTTGCCCTGATCCAAAACTCCAGTCATCAGAATCACTCTTTAGAGTGTGAGTGTTAAAACACTGTTTAAATGCAAATGTATCCCATGGGTAGTTTTTGATATAAACCTGTAACAGTAGGTTCATTAGGATCTAAGACACCTTGAGTTATCAATAACTCCCCTGGGAAATAGTGTGGATGTGGAATGTAAGCACAGGGGCTTTGGGGAGCTAGCAGACAGCCTGGGGACACCAAGGACCTGGTCAAGAGGCCAGGTAAAGGCTTCAGTTAGACAGAAACTTCTGCAGGGGAGACCCCCGGAGTCAGGAAATGGCACTGGCCACTAAGCTGTGTCTCAGAAAGTCTTTCCCTCCCCTGAGAGCAGAATCAGATGCTCCTGTCATTCTCACCCAAAGAAATGAGTGAGTTAATAATAGCTTACATGTGTGAAATGTTTGATATGGTCCAGGCTCTGTGCTATGTCTGTTAGAACAGCCACTGTTTCATTTACTTCCCACAAGAACACTAGTAGTTGGCTACCATTAACCATTCATATTTTACATATAGGGAAACTGAGCCTTGGTTATGTCTCTTGCCCAAAATCTCATTGTACCAAAATTAACAGGTACAATTGGGACTTAAGTCCTCATAGTTTGACCCCAACAGCCATACCCTTAGCTATCACCTACTATAAATACAAAGGATCTGCTCTCCTTTTTTTTGTACTATAATCACTTTCCTTCCTTAGAACAGCAGTCTGTTTGCATAAAAGCATGCTGAACCTCAACAGCTTCCAGACGGTAGAGAACATTTCAAGTTCTATAGCCATATTTCCCACCCTTAGCACTATTGACATTTGGGGCTGATGATTCTTTGTTGTTGGGGGTGTCTTGTGCATTGAAAGATATTTAGCAGCATAACCGGCCTCTACCCATGAGATGTCAGTAGCACTCTCCTCCAAGCTCTGACAGCCGGAACTGTCTCCAGACATTGCCAAATGTCCCCTAGAAGGGGGTGAAGAGCAAAATCTCCCACCCTCATTGAAAACCACTTGTCTGAAAAAATAGGTAGGATCACACAGGGAAGGAGGTATGGGAGTGAATTTTGCCTCTGAGGGACTATCCTGAAATCCACATTAGCAGAGTTCTCTACAGAACTGCATTCAGCAGGAGGTGGATTTGGCATAGAACACACCCCACGTGGGTTCCACATGTGCAGCTAGTGGCTGCATGCCAAGGCATATTTTCTGTTATATAATGGCCCCAGTGCATGGTGGAAGTAGAACTTAAGCTGCTTGCTCTAAGAACCATGTTCCTATAATTCTTTTGTGAGCTCCTTTTTTCTTTAGTGTTAGACACTTCATAGCACTCTATAATCAGTATTTAACGTGCCTGACCTCCTACCATATCAAAATGAGAAAGTCAGGGGATCAGAAGTGAGCCCCATTCATCATTTTCCAGCAGCTTCATGCAGAGCTGGACTTTCTGAATGAAGTAATACCAAGTGCGTCCTGCAGTAGGAGTAGGAAAGTGTTTGACTGGTTCTCTCACAGACCCAGAAATTACATAAATGATTGGACTGTATAATCTAGCTCTCCAGTACCGAACCCCCAGTAACTGCTGCTGCTGCTAGTGAGAGTGCGGATTTGAGTTTGTGGTGCATGTGCTGAGATGGGGCCTGCTCTCTCCTGTGCTATAGCCCCAGCCATTGCCACCTAGAGAACTGAAGATTCACATAGGTTTTAGAAATCTGGATCTTTTCCATGGACCAATGAATGACAAAAGCAGGAGACCATTTGTTGCTAGAAATGGTGCCCACACAAACCCCATTAGCTGCTGGTGTTCAATTAACTAGAACTCAGAAAATTATGGGCATTTCTGCTAGTCACTGTTGGCAAAGAGCTCCTTTTCTACTAAAGAAAACCAAGTGACTAATTAATGACTCTTTCAAAACTCTTGTTCATGATTGAAATAATCTTCACCAGTTTATGGGAGCAGGTTTTTCTATTTAAAAATCTATCATTAGTATTTTCTGAGATTCTAAGTGCATATGCACACACGGGCATGCATTCTCTCATATATGCAATATTATCAGTGGAATGCGGCTGGATAGACAATTATTAGATCTCTGGATAGGTTGATGTACCAACTATCTTTTTCATGAATGGGAAAAAGAAGTTCCTAGATGAGTTTCAAACACAGACCTCAGAAAGACTAAAAAGGAGTTTTATATTTGAAAAACTCCAGTCACTGCTAATTGTTCCTTCCCTATTTACAAGTTCAAATTAACTTCAGTTTTCAATAAAATCTTGTGTTTTCCAAATCATGTAATTTGACCTCCTGAGATCTAGAGCAAAAAAAGCTCAAAATAACACAATTGCTACATTTTCCCACATTCCGTGTTGGTGAAATTCAGTAATCATAAGGTGCAATCAGAATCATCTTAGTGAATTCAAAATTGCTGCCTACATTCATGTAGACTTTAAAAAATTGCCAAGCATGCTTTGCAGACCACATATTGGAAGTGAGTTTATACCCAGATTTTTTTCCAGGTGTTCCTTTGGGTGCCTGAGCTTCTCTATTATCTGCTTTCAGAAAGGACATCTGTGCTGGTTCCAATCGCCCCTGTGAGACCCTGGGTCTGTCTCACCTTTCAGGAATGTGCCAGCCCCACCGCAGCTGTAACATCAATGAAGATTCGGGACTCCCCCTGGCTTTCACAATAGCCCATGAGCTGGGACACAGGTAAAGGGCCGACCACAGGGAGGTCTGCTCAGCATGTTTATGTGTCAGCATCAGCAGAGAGAATGGAACGCACCTCAGATTGGAGGTCAGGAGACTCAGATTGCACTGCGGCTTGTGACTCACCCTCCTCAACCTCTACTTTCATCAGTAAAGCGGGGATAGTAACACACCTCATGGGCTCCAAAGTCTGCACTGCCCAGACCACATACACCCACACACATCACAGAACCCAAGAGGCCACTCCAATTCTCTGGATTTGAATGGAGGAAGGACAGAGATAAGCTGGAACTCAGTTGTTTAACTGAGGAATAACCCTTGGTTAGTTCTTATGAAATAATCATGTTAATGTCACTAAAAAGCCACAAAACTTGATATTTTTGCACCCTTACTTTGTGCCATTGTGCTTTTTATTGCGTCATTGAATCTGCCCAGCAACACTTTGGAGTAGAACTGTTAGTCCCATTTTACTTATGTGTATTAAAGGACGACATGGAATAATAAGAAATTGAAAACTGCTGTAAACTTGGAAAGACTATAATGTGAACACCAGTTAACTGGATGTCCAAGTTGTTCACAAAAATGTGTAAATTTGATTAGGTGAATTCCTTGAAGGCAGGTTTCAGAATGCTTGAGTGAAGGTATAATAAGATTCTGAATTCACCAGATATCAGAGGTTTTCAGGGAGAATAGATCTTAGCTTATTTGTAACTTTATTTGCCATTATATTTGCTAACCACAAATAAGAGAGCATTATACTAATAGGAAACTGGGTGGGGAGCCACATGAACAGTAATATCCCCTGCTGTCATGTATCCACCAGCCTGGAACTCCTCCCTTTGAAGAAGGAAAAATGCTGGGGAATTCTTAGTGCACAACTAGAAAAGAGTCAGGACTGGAAAAAACACTGGAGACGGAATTATTCCAGACCTGGCCTCTCCAGTTTCAGCTTGCTCACCATTTTCCTAATATAACATTTGGACTTTCCAAAACAATTTAACTGCATTATAAAGTCAGAGCATTGCCTTGAGAATTGGAGAAAGAGAATTCTTGTTCTAACTTTTCTATTGATGAACATTATGATCTTAGATAATTCCCTTCACCACTCTATACCTGCTTCCTCATCTATAAAATGAGTAGGTTGAACTAGCCAATATCTAACGTGATTATTTGGATTTTCACCAAAAAAGCCTTGGTGATAAATGTGATATATTTCAGTATGCTTAGCTGTCAAAGATTCAGAGATAGAGAAGCTAAGTGACTTGCTTTAATTAAATAATAATTAAAGATGAAGGAAAGCTGGCCATCTTGATAAGACTAAGCCATAGTTGTTGGCAGGTCAATAATAAAACCTGGCGAAATGTAAGTTATGCTATAGGCAAACAGACAGGAGTCTCCAGTTCTGTTATGTGGAAGGACATGGTCCCTGTAGCCTTCTGTCAAGACATTGTTGTCAATAGCACCTCCTGGCCAAACAGTGCTAGGGGATTGTAACTGGGTCAAACTGAGAAGTTATCACTCAAGCCATCCCAGCAATGGTATACTCAAACCAAAGAGAAGTGGAAAAGACTTTGCTTGATAAAAGACATTCTCAAATCCTCACTGTTTGTGTTCCAGGGAAGGGTTCTTTATATCCTCAAGTTCAACCTGATCTTGTAAAAAGAAATATGTTAAGCATGCCCTTCAAAAGCAATGTTGCCCATTTTTGAGGCAATCTTTGACTTGACTGACTCTCTGGGCGTGGACACATCACTTTTGTAAGGAAGGCCACCTAAGCAAACAAAGCTAAGAGCAAGTATGATCCTCCTTTCAGATTTCAAAATTTCTCTAATAAAGTTGAGAACCTCATAGTAACATTACTTGGGCACATTTTCCCTGAACACCTAAAAACAAATAGTTGTAGATGTTTAGTAGTTGTTGGATGTGGTGGATTACTTAATAGACTAGAACTAGGTCACTACTGGAATCAGTATGATATTACAGTAAGGTTAAACTAAACACTAGTTCAGAACTATCTGATGCATTGTGAAAATGAAACTACTATAAGGTTTTATTACCTATGCCTTTGTTGTCATTGTTCTGTTTCAAATTACGCAGGAAAAAAGCAATGAGGATCTAGCATCTAAAAAACTCTTTAAACATCAAGTTTCTAAGTAAAAGAATTAAAGAACACTTAGGCAGAACCAGAGAACAGTCTTTGAGGTGATTCAGAAAGCCATTATTCTCAGCAAACTAACACAGGAACAAAAACTAAACACCTCATGTTCTCACTCATAAGTGGGAGTTGAACAATGAGAACGCATGGACACAGGGAGGAAAACATCACACACCGGGGCCTGTCAGGAGGTGGGGGGCAAGGGAGGGATAGTATTAGGACAAATACCTAATGCATGCAGGGCTTAAAACCTAGGTGATGAGTTGATGGGTGCCGCAAACCACCATGGCACATGTATACCTATGTAACAAACCTGCCCATTCAGCACATGTATCCCAGAACTTAAAGTACAATACAATAAAATAAATAAAAATAAATAAATAATTGTATATAGCTACAAAAAAAAAAAAGTCAACCCTGAGACAGGGATTTGAGAGCAATTAGTTTGTTTGGAAGGTAGAGGAAATATCAATAGGGAATTAGGGCAGTAAAACATAACAGGGAAGGTAGAGACAATAAACAGTTCGTTATTTCAGCTTCCACTCTGAGCAACTGAACCTTAATCCCATGGACCAACTCCAATAAATGAGTTGGAGTTGGTGAGAACTGGGCTGTTTTATATGCCAACACCCTTATGTTGTTGGCTAAAGGCTATTCCCAGAGGTTGTTATTAATAGTTCCCTGCTACTCTCAGCAGAGCAGTCTAACTTGGCTCTGGAGAAATCCCAGGTAAAGAGATGCAGCTGAAAGTCAACCAGTGGTGAGTCTATGAACAGGTACCAACAGCATCCATTACCAATAGCTTACTCAGGGGCATTAAATGCCACCCTTGCAAAGATTTTAAGTCAAGGAAAATGGAATATACATACTTTTCCATATTCCTTCTACTAAGTATGATGAAAAATGCTAAACACTATATCAAAAACAAACATAGGAAGACCGAAAGATGGAAAGAAGGAAAACAGGCTGAGGACCACAGAACCTGAAGAGTGACATGATTGTGAATTCCCTGGCTTTTCTATTCTTTCATATATGCCAGACTTGGAACTGTTGATGGCAGCAACCTGGAAACACACACACATGCACACACACAAACACACACACTCATGCACACACACACACACACACACACACACACAATCACCCACATAAGCCTGTTCTCTCTATCCAAAGGAGGAGCAGGAAAGAGACAGTCTAACAAGACAGAAAATTTTAGACAGTAACTCTTTTATTCTAGGTGAACAGCACAAGGAAAAAAAAAAACTTGTAAAACTGTGGCTTTATGCTAGCAAAGTCTGAGTGGGAAGTCTAAACTTGCACCTGTGTGAGCTATACCAAAGCACCAAACACCGCTACTTGGGCAGTGTCAAAAAGACCAAGTAGGCTAAGACCTTGATTCCTATAGGCCAGTATTGAGGGCTCCCCTAACCCTACCCCTGTAGTGTCAGGACAGATAACATGGGAGCAAGAGATTTCATTCATCTCTGACAGTAGCAAGGAGCTATCCCTTTCACAACGCAGGTGTCTATAGAGGCCATGTGAAAAACCTTAACTTCTACTTCCGCCTGGCAGTAATGAAGCAGTGGCCCCACTCCCCTCCCCTCCAGAGTAGTGTCAGAAAAGCCAGAATTAAATAAGATCCATGACATAATATTAAAACCTCCAAATTTCAATATAAGTTACTCATTATACCAAGAACCAGGAATATCTCAAACTGAATGAAAAAAAAAGAAGAATGTCAAGAGATGTCAGTACCCAGATGACAGAGATGTTAGAATTAGCTGACAAATATTTCAAAGTGGCCATGGTGAAAAAAGCTTCAATGAGCAATTACCAACAACCTTTAAACAAATGAAAAACTAGTAAGTGTCAGCTAAGAAACAAAAGATATCGCGGTGGCTCACGCCTGTAATCCCAGCACTTTGGGAGGCCGGGGCTGGTGGATCACGAGGTCAAGAGATCGAGACCATCCTGGTCAACATGGTGAAACCCTGTCTCTACTAAAAATACAAAAAATTAGCCGGGCTCGGTGGCGCGTGCCTGTAATCCCAGCTACTCAGGAGGCTGAGGCAGGAGAATTGCCTGAACCCAGGAGGCGGAGGTCACGCCATTGCACTCCAGCCTGGGTAACAATAGCGAAACTCCGTCTCAAAAAAAAAGAAAGAAAAAAAGAATCAGACAAAATGACCAAGTGGGATTTATTTCCGGGATGCAAGGCTGGCTCAGTATTTGAAAATCAGCATAATCCACCATTGTAACAGGCTAAACAAGAGAAACCACATGATTATATTAATATTAATTTTAGTAGATAAAACATTTGACAAAATTTGACACTCACTTATCATAAGAAACACTCAGAAATGGAAATTTCTTCAACTTGATTAAGAACATCTACAAAAAATTTATAGCTAATATTGTACTTAGTGCTGAAACAATGAATATGTTTACCCTAAGATCAAAAACAAGACAAGGACATCCGTTCTCACCACTTTTTATTCAACATAGTACTAAAAGTTTCAGCCAGTGCAGTAAGACAAGGAAAGGAAATAAAAATCACACATATGGGAAAGGAAGAAACAAAACTATTCCTATTTTCAAGTAACATCATTGTATATGTTGGGGACCCCATATACAATGAGAGAACTGATCTTTGACAAAGTTGACAGAAATATACAATTGAGAAAGGACACCATATTTAATAACTGGTGCTGGCAAAATTGGATATTCATATGTAAAAGAATGAAACTGGACCTCTATCTCTCACCAAATACAAAAACTAACTCAAGATTGATCAAAGACTTAAATGTAAGTCCTGAAACTGCAAAAATCCTAGAAGAAAACCTGGGAGAAACTCTTTTAGACATTGGCCCAAAGAATTTATGACTAAGACCTCAAAAGCAAATGCAACAAAACAAAAAATCGCAAAACAAATAGCCAAATGGGACTTAATTAAACAAAAAACTTCTGTGCAGCAAAAGAAATAATCAATGGAGTAAACAGACAACCCACAGAGTGGAGAAAATATTTGTAAACTATACATCTGACAAAGGACTAATATCCAGAATCTATTGGGAGTTTAAACAACTGAACAAGAAAAAAACAAGTAACACCATTAAAAAGTAGGACTAGAATATGAACAGACATTTCTCAAAAGAATACACAAAAGTGGCCAGTAAACATATTAAAAATCCTCAGCATCACTGTTCATCAGAGAAATGCAAATTAAAACCACAGGGAGGTACTGTCTCACACCAATCAGAATGGCTATGATTAAAAAATAAAAAAATGACAGATATCAGTGAGGATGTGGAGAAAAGATAATGCTTATACGTCATTGTAGTTGGAACTATGAATTAGCACAAACTCTATGGAAAACAGAATGGAGATTTCTCAAGAACTAAAACTAGAGCTATTATTCAACCCAGCAATCCCACTACTGGTTATATACCCAAAGGAAGAGAAATTACTGTGTAAAAAAGATACCTGCACTCATATGTTTATTGCAGCACTGTTCACAATAGCAAAGTCATGAAATCAACCAACAGATGATTGACACTGAAAATATGGTATATATACACCATGGAATACTACACAGCCATAAAAAAGAATGAAAAGATGTCTTGTGCAACAACATAGATGAAGTTGGAGGCCATTATTTTAAATGAAATAACGTAGAAAATCAAATACCTCATATTCCCACTTACAAGTGGGAGCTAAACGACGAGTATGCATGGATATACAGAGGGAAATTGTAAACACTGGGGACACCAAAAGCTGGGGAAGGTAGGAGGAGAATGAGTTGAAAAGTTACTTATTGGGTACAATGTTCACATTTGGGTAATAGGTACACTAAGTCCTAACCTCAGCCTTATGCAATGTATCTGTGTAAAAAATCTGCTCATGTACCCCCCCTGAATCTGTAAAAATCAAGAATAGAAAAAAAATGTTAAGATGCCTCTCAGGTATTTCTTTCTTAAGTTGTATAATTATAATTAGCTATGGACCAAACTGAGAAACAATGAGCAGATCAGTGAAATGGCCTGGGACAGCCAATAAGGAGAAAAATATAATAAATCAGTATCCCAAGAAGACACTCATCATAGTTTAATAATAAAGATATGACTTTGTTTTTTACAAACTTGTTTGTTTCATCAGTGATTGTATATAATGCAAAAGAGAAAGTAACTTGTACTATAACCCAAGTGAATAATTTTACTTTTATTTTGAGAGAAAACTTACAAATCCATTTGTTAGAGTCCTAGATTAATTATATGGCTTGCTATATTGAAATATCCAGAGTTAAGAGGATCATTATTCATGTAGGTTTTTAGAACCTTGCTTGCAGTTTAGAATTTTGACTATTGAACAGTTAAACTTGTAGAGTACTTCAGGAGCTGGGTAGGGCTGGATTTGCAACAGGCTGGGGAAAGTCTGCTCAGAAGGAAGCGTTCATTGAATCCATTGAATCGTATTCCTTGTGGGTGAGTGATAAGAGCTTTGTACATTAATTCTCTGACTCCTTTGTGAGTTTTGTATTCATGTTGAATGTGATTAGAAGTTGGATATGAGTTTCCCGGTAAGAGGAGTTAAATTTCACTACAAAGAGTAAAAGGTCATATGGATTTAGAAATTTAAGCCAATGTCTCCAGGTTTAAATGTCCAGTGTCTCAAAGTCCATCCCAGTGGAGAGAGTTCTGGGAATCTTCAGAAAGCATCTTTTGGGTGATCTTGAGAACGTAGCTTATAAACAAAGACTTCTGAGTTAGCTTCTTCCCCCAGGAACCCCCATGCCATGTTGGATGGTTAAGCTCTTTAAGGTCCTTCAAGGCTGCTTCACTGGGTCTGCCCTGGCAGTGGAGGAAGGTCAGGGGACAAACCAAGTGACACATGGACAAGAGCATTGTGTTAGGAGCACAAAGATCTGTGTCTAAAACTTAGTGACCACTAATAAGCTATATGACTTTGGACAAGTCTCCAAGTCTAAACTTTTTCATATGGAAAAGGAAAATAAGCTAGATCATGATTTTTAAAAAAAAGCAATTTTTAAAAAATTATATCATTTATGAAGCCCTTATTATCTGCCAGGTACCTTGTTAAGTGGTTTTTAATTTCAGATCTCATTGTAGCACTAGGATGACTACCCCATCTTCTAGGAAAGGAAAATGAGGCAAGTTTTGATAATTTATAGGTCATTTAAGTGGCAAGACTGGAATTCAAATCCAGATAATCTGTCTTAAAGACCCTGCTCTTAATCACTGAATTAGGAGGTCTCCTTAATGTGTCCACTATCGGAGGACTCGTGTGGCAATAGTAGAAAGACACCTATCCCTCAAAGCTCGTAGGCTTTGACAAAGTCTCCCAGAGGCTTCTCTTTTTATGCCCTCTCTTAAATTATGATGAAAAGGGAGAAGGAAGGTTTTGTTCTTTTGTTCTGTGTGCTGTGGTTGCTGCCACAGGAGAAAGCAAATAGCTGGGGGCAGGATTTGCCTTCCTGACTCCTGACTCATAGAAAGAAACTCAGACAGAGCTCTTAGCCTTCTGCCAAGCAGAAGTTTCTGAATTAGCTGTGTGGCCTCCATGGATGCATATTTGACATAAAGCATGCCTACAGTGTTTCCTGTGCTTTTCAGTTTGAAAATTAGCTATGCCCCTGAAACTTCAAAGTCTCACTTTGCAAACAGTTGCCTCCTATACAAATGTGGCTCTCTGTGGGTTATTATGCTCTTAGCAAAATTGTGGTTTTTCTCCGTTTAATGCCTGCCGGCTCTTCTTGTGCTTGGTTCCTCCCTGCCAGCTTTGGTATCCAGCATGATGGCAAAGAAAATGACTGTGAGCCTGTGGGCAGACACCCGTACATCATGTCCCGCCAGCTGCAGTACGATCCCACTCCACTGACATGGTCCAAGTGCAGCAAGGAGTACATCACCCGCTTCTTGGAGTAAGTGACATGTGTCTCATGATGCCCTCTCTTTAAATCAGAAGCTGCACTGAGTTTTACACAGAGAAGCTGATGCCTGGAAAAGGCTGGGTTCCATCCCACAGGCCACAGTGTCTGGGTGGTATCAAAAGGGGCGGATTTCACTTCTGTGTTCTGATCCTGAGGTCTAGATGGGCCCTGCTCTCTGGCCACAGCCAGGTGAGCATCCTTTCCCATCCCAATTGCTCCTGCCCCACAACAGCCTTTTATGAGCTAATTATGAATTAAGCCCTTGGGAACTGGCAGGAACAACCAACACAGGTCAGAAGTGGTCACTCAAGCTTCATCGAGAGTAGGATAATGATTTTCAAATTTTACCATGGCTTGTATTTTCTAGATAAACTAAGCTTATGGTGTGGGATATGATTTGCATTTTCTTTTATTAACACTCTCCTTGGGCCTAGAGGGGTCTCTGCCTTGTAAAAAATAAAGTTGTCTTAAAGGACAAACAGTAAACCAGAGGGGAGTTTGACTGAAAGGCTGAAGGTGAAGGGACTCCTAAACAACTCCTCTCATTTCCGTTAACTTGTTTTCAGCCGAGGCTGGGGATTCTGTCTTGATGACATACCCACAAAGAAAGGGTTGAGGTCCAAGGTCATTGCCCCAGGAGTGATCTACGATGTTCACCACCAGTGCCAGCTACAGTATGGACCCAATGCTACCTTCTGCCAGGAAGTAGAAGTAAGTGTTGGCTATCTTGATGCCACTTGCTGGGTATATGCAGGGCTTCAGAGCTCCAGCATGGTGAAGGAAGGACCAGGGCAATATTTGGAAATCTGAAGCTTTATATTTAAGGCAAGGTGCGTCTGTAAGGCAAAACAATTAAGCTGGAGTCATATTCCTTGACATTGCCCCATTGGTAGTCTACGAAGCATACATTCCGTTACAACTGGGCGGTGGTCGAGACAGTTCCACAGTGATTTTCAGGATTCAGTGATTCACATCTGCAGACTCCATAGCAACCAACTTAATCCCTAAAATTGCTCCCTTTCTTGAATTTCACATCTGGCTGAAGAGTACCAGCAAATCCCAAGGTCAAAATAAGATTTATTCACCAATTCGTTCTTCTCGTTTATTTTCAACATCCAAATGATAATTCAGGATTTGGCACCGTACCTTCTGAAGAGTCTTCTTCTTTACCACTGCCACGGCCTCAATTCAGGCTCTCATCATCTTTCCTTGCTAGTAATTACCTCCTACCTCGTCTCCCTTCTATTCAAATTGTTCCTCAAGTTGTCTTTTAAAACCACAATCTAAGCATGGTCTTCTCTGCCGTTAGAGTCCCCGATGACCACAGGATAAAGTTCCAGCTCCTTTTGAGGCAGTCCTTCATGATGTGGAACCTGTCTATTCTCTGAACTCATCCCTTTTAATGCAGAAGTATCCATGCTAACACATAAATATGGATGAGGCAAATCTCACTGAATCCCTGCCAGATTCTGTGCTACGTACAGAATATGGAGAAAAGATAAGCGCTCAGAAATAAATGAGACAAAGTCTCTGCCCTCGAGGAGCTCGTGGTGGAGAAGCCAGGCATAAAAATTTTCATACAGTGAGAAATTCAAAACGAAACCTAGAAAAAACTTAAAAGGGGGTGTAAATAACAGTGCTTAGACAGAACAAGCAAAGTAGCCGAGAAGGTAAAGTTGATACAAAAATCCTCTCCCCTCACTTCTAACTGGCTACCAAGTTATGCCAATTTTGCCTCCTAAATATATATATTTTTTAAACAAAGTTTCTCTCTGTTGCCCTGGCTGGAGTGCAGTAGTGCGAGATCTCAGGTCACTGCAACCTCTGCCTCCCCTGTTCAAATGATTCCCGTGCCTCAGCCTCTCGAATAGCTGGGATTACAGATGCCTGCCACCGTGCCTGGCTAATTTTTGTATTTTTAGTAGAGACAGGGTTTCACCATGGTCAGGCTGGTCTTGAACTCCTGACATCAGGTGATCCACCTGCCTCAGCCTCCCAAAATGCTGGGATTACAGGTGTGAGCCACCCAGCCCGTCCTAAATATTTCTAAAATCTACCTGTTCCTAGATGGCTCCAGCAGTTCCCTGATTGGTTGAGTCTGAACCCTTAACTCTGATTCATTTTCCAAAATGCAGCCTAAGTAAACTTTACAAATGGAAATCCATTTATAAATGGATTTATAAATACTCACTCCCCTTTGAGTAGAATATCTCATGGCCTTCCCATTTTCTGGCAATAAAGTATGAATTTCCTAAAATGGCTTAAGAAGGGGCTTCAGAGTTCACTCTCCTCCTGCTCTCTGGCCTTATGTTTTAGAATATTGTTTTAGCCCTTCCCTCTATAGTCTGGTGCTGATTATATGTATATGGAACTTTATCACTAATCTTCCCTACCTGGGAAACCTCTCCTTCGTGTGTTCATCTCTTTATAGCTCTGTACTTTATATCATTTCTTTACCTTTATTTTCTAGTTCGCTAGTTCTCTCTTCAGATTTTTCCAATTATGCGTTATATTTAACCTACATATTGACTTTATAATCTAACCATATTTTATTTATAGGAGTCTACTTGGTTACTTTTCTAAATTTTCTCTCTTTTCATGATATTTTGTTCCTAATTTTAAACTTTTGGTGTAATCTTTTATTTCTTCAATAACATATGACATACTTACTTTGCAATTTATAGTGAGTACTTTTACTGTTCAGAATCTATGTGCATCTTTTTCTCCTATTTGGAGTTTCTTCTGGCTTTCACATATTATGTGATATTTCCTTTTGTGATTTTTGCTTTTATTGTGAGATTTTAGTTATAAAACTTTATGTCAGTTTTCCTTTAGGGCTCACATGGCTGGCACATTCTTTCAGAGAAATATATCTCTGGGTCAATTTAAAATGCTACTGACTTGATGTTGTGTTGACTTATGAGCAGCACGGGGGCGAGTGTGGATACGAACTCTCAGGAGTAACGTTTGGACCCTCCTTCTAGCGTTAAAATCAAAACAGAAGTGTTTTCTGTGTACCTAGATTTTTTTCGGGTCACCCTTGCACTCATGGCCTTATGTGAATGTCTCCAATAAGAAACAGGAGTCTCCCACTTCCCACTTCCCACGGGCCTAGCCATTGTCCCCAGTGTCTAAGTGACTAATAAATCTAAGATCTAAGTGACTAGGTTTGCATCTCCAGCTTAACACTTTTGCTACATTTTTAGCCTCTGGGGAGTTTCTTTGCTTTCTTGGTGACTCAAGGATTCCCTTAAAACTTTAAAATATTTTATGCACGATTTTAGAAGATTTATAGAGGGAAGGGTTTTCAGGGTATCTTGTTGTTTACTAGAAACAGAACACCCGAGTTACCTCTGGTCAGCTCCTCTTTTGTGTTTATCTGTCATAACAGCCTCCATTCTCTGAACGCGCTGGGTTCTCCACAACCTCCAGGACCCTGCACACTCTGGTTCCTAAGAAACATCCCTTTTGCTCATCATTTGAGTCTCAGCTTAAATATTTGTTCATATCATATCATGAATTTTCTTTGTCAAAGCCTTATTAGACTACATTTTAGGTTCTTGTTTACTGAACTGTCTCCTTTCCTACCATGTCAACTCTCTGAGGAAATTTTTATCCCTGACACTCAGCAATGCTTAGCACATAGTAGGCACTCAATAGATAAGTGAATGAACACTTCAGATGCCTTTATATGGCAGCCAAGTTAACCTCATCCTTTTCCATATTAACAATATGCTAAAATACCAGAAAACGGAGCATCGTTCATCTTAGAACTTTTTATTTTGAAATTGTTTAAATTCCAAAAAATTGAAAAAATTAGTACAAAGTTTCTGTGTAGCATTCACCCAGTATATCATCCTTTCTAAATGCTCAGTGAACTTGAAGTAAAAGAAATCCTCAGAAAGAAGGGAAAAATAATAAAAGGGAGTGATAAGCAAGAATAGATATTGAGGCTGATGTGGAGATAACAAAAGGGCTTCAGTATTCACATCCAAATTGAAACAGACAATTATGTATTCTCCTTGAGCAGGGCCAGGATTTAGAACCAAGACCTTTGCATGAAGCTGTGATTCTTAAAGAGGTGTGCTTCAATGAAAGGATAAGCTAGAAGAAATCAACCAAAAGGAAAGGAAGATGACAGAGAAGCATCTTTTATCTCAGCCTGCTTTCTAGTGGGGAAGTGGGAGGGTGTGTGGAAATACTGATAAATAACTTTCTCACTTGGAAATTCTTCACTACAGGCCATGCTCATGCTAATCTAGAGTTTAAATCTGTACCCTGTATAGCTTGATTACCTCCATGACAATAATAATAATAATAAAACATTTGGCCTGGAGGTACTATGGATGCCTGGAAATAAAGGTGAAACTGCCCCAGAGGAATCAACACACATTCAATATGGCACAAAACTCTGATTAAAAAAGCCACCCTTCAGATGGGTTCATAAATCAGCCTCTAATTCAAAATATAATATAATCTACCTTCACCTAAGTGAAAAGAGACAATAAGTCCTCAAGAACCTTCAAAAATTGAATTTTTATAAGGATAATAAAATAAATAAATAAGAATGAATTGTATATGAGAAAAAAATACTATAAGATGTATGTAAGGCAGACATGCAGAAGAATAAATCCAACTTCTGGAAATGAAAAGTGTGGTTATTGACTTAAAAATTCAGTGGATGGATTAAACAGCAGACTTGACACAGTTGAAAAGAAAATCAATCAACTGGAATTTAGAGCTGAGAACATTACTTCCCATCCCACTTGGTTGTTTCTTAGGGGTGTATGATAAAGGAGGAAGTTTCTTCAATTTTCACATAGAAGAAGATTGAGAGCTGGGGAATATGAAAGTGAGGTTGAAACATAAAGCACAAAATCAGAAGGTCCATCAACAATAATTACAAGTTCCAAAAGGAAAGGCAAAATTTAGAGAAAGAAAGATTAATAATTTTCTAAAATGGCTTAAAATATGAAGTTGTGTAATGAAAAAATACGTTCAGTGTAGAATACAATAAGTGAATAAAACAATGGAAGATGAGTAGACAGAAAGAAAATACTAATAGGTAGATGAAAGCAGCTAAGCTATTTCAGATGACATCTAAGAATCCTGCCAACCTTCTTTTGTCCCCACAGGGGTAGAAATAAGAAGGAATATGAAATTCTCTTCCTGGAAACTGAAACTAGCTGACTACTTTGGGTAATAAGTGAACAAGCTGAGGCTTTCTAAGTGGAATAGTTTCCATTTTCTTCACTGAGCAGACTTAAGTTATAACCACCCCCAACTGTTAGTAATCAGATTGCCTTCCAGCCACAGTTTAGATTTACATTTCATAGACAATCAACAGTTACCCTTCCCAAGGGCAATGAGTGCTGGGTATTGTGCCAAACTTATAGAAATGACCATCTCAACCCGTAGAAAACAGGTTTTATCTCTCATTTCCATATTACCTCGTATGACCTATAGACCACTGTTAATGAATGTTGACAAAGTCTAAGTTACGCTTGACCTGAAAACGCTAATGATTACTGTCTGTCACTCTTAGTCACTAACGACAGTGGCATTTATTGTGAGTGTGTATATTTTACTGTAATTATAGGAATGCTTTGGGGCAAGTATTGAAAATACAAAAAAAGTGCAATTTGTTTTCTAGAACGTCTGCCAGACATTGTGGTGCTCCGTGAAAGGCTATTGTCGCTCTAAGCTGGATGCTGCTGCAGATGGAACTCAATGTGGTGAGAAGAAGGTGATGTGTCAGGCCGAGAGATTAGGTGGGAGGGCAGTGGGCGCAGAGTTCTTGGAAGGAGCTGAGGAGAAGGTACTAGAGGGCAGTTCTCTATGGGGGAAGGGCAGTGAGTGGAGGTCGCAGTCAGATCAGCTGGAGGAGAGCACCCCACATCCACCACTCCAGGTGAACCTGCATTGGGAGCAGGTAGTTAAGGAGGACTGAGGCCCATTTCAAGCTTCCCTTGCAAAACATCTGTTTCATCTTTCCCTGATGGACTTCTATGGAGTTTGTGGTCAACATTTTGTAAGCTTATTATCAGCCTTTCTTTTGACTTTTTCCCTCCCATATTGAATATTGAAAAGGATAAGCCAGAGGCTTCTTTCCAAAAATGGAGGATTTAGGTCACTTATCATTCTTGCTCATCAACTGGCATGACTGCATTTCTTAAAGTTCTGCCACTTTACTAAACAGGAAAGTCAGACACCTCAGAACTCAGAAATGTTTGATACCCTCTAGACTGAGTGTCTTGCGGACCTAGAGCTTATGTGTTTAGTGGGCATCTTTATGCAGCTTGAGTGTGGCAGGACCCCTCACTGAGATTAGAGAACCCTGACAAAATACATAGTGGCCAGAAAAAAATGAGGGGAAAAAAAGGGTATCAGGCAATAAAACATGTCCAAATCCTCCAGGAAATGTGGCTTTTCACAACAACCACGTAGCATTTCCTTTCGTTTTCATTTTTGTATATTCACTCTCCTAAACTGATAGTTGTGGAAGGATTACCTTGAAGAGGGAAGAGAGTTGATTTTTTCCTACTTGCTTACTTGAAAGGCCAGAGCTACAAACAATGGTTAGAGTTAAAGAAAAACAGATAATGAAGAACCTCCTAACAACTAGTGTATTTGGGCAGTGAAATTGACTTTCTGCAGGATGATGAGTTCTCTGTCGCAGTCATTAAATACCCGGAGAGCTACAAAGAAGTGCTATTCACCGTGCCAGTGCGGGAACTATCGTCGTTTGCAGCAAGATAAGGATCTTGCACCAGAAAGTAAATCAGCTATGTTACTAAGCAACTATGTTACTGAGCATACTAAGCTGACATGCTTTTCATAACAAGACTTTCTCAGTGAGGGAAGTAGCATGTTGATTTATATTCTTGTGTGCAATCTGCCAACCACACTGTGTAGCACCCCTGTGATTAGGCTGTGATTAATAACATAACGATTCCTTCCATTCCTGAAACTCTCTAACTCTACAACCCAAGACTCTTGGAAGAAACCGGTATGGGCCCTTCTTTGTTTTACATCCGATGTGTGACTGTAGAAAGCCCACGTGCTTGCAGAGAATTGGGTTTAGACTTCTAGGGCTCTTGACTCAGCTTGCTATGGTAACCTTCCTGACACGTCCATGTCCTGCCTCTTCCCTTTCCAGTGGTGTATGGCAGGCAAATGCATCACGGTGGGGAAGAAACCAGAGAGCATTCCTGGAGGCTGGGGCCGCTGGTCACCCTGGTCCCACTGTTCCAGGACCTGTGGGGCCGGAGTCCAGAGTGCAGAGAGGCTGTGCAACAACCCTGAGTAAGTCCAGATAAATGGATTTCCCTTCCCTTCACACGTGCTTGATGGGGCAGTCTTGAAAGGCACGACCTCAGTGATCCCAAGCCCCCTCAAGGGAAATTAAACGGGTTTCCCAAGACAAAAAGAAGGTTCACAGAGAGTGGGAAAAAAAAATTGGTTCTGTTTTGTTTTGTTTCATTTAGGCTTGGCACTGGATTCTTAGTAAAACTTGGATAAGTAAGCTGATCTTATCGTTTGGGGAAATAAGCAAATTTATTTTACGTGTGCAATCTATGTGAAAGCTTCTAGGAGATTATGCAGTTAAATCTTTTAAAATAACTCTGCTTTATCAGTAAGAGATTAGTGAAACCCAATTTTGCTGATAAAATTATCGCTTGCTTTCAATTATAATAAATATGCAATTTTATGAAAATATTTCTTTTCTTAAGCAACTAGTAAAATAGGTACATTTTTTAGAATAATTACTTTTAATATTTTTAGATAACGATTTTTATAAACCTTAAAGTTCCTAGCAGCCTGTTAAGGATTCTGTAAATGCTATTTTATAAATGACTTTCAATTTTTTAAGCAAATTGCTCAATTTTTCACACATTCTATTTGTATGACAATATTATATATGAGGTAAATTTAAACTTGCTTGTTTTTCAAATACACATTACATTCTTAATTTCATTATTTTCTGATGCACTGTCTCCTACGGAATTTCCTGAAAATGTGTATGTGATGCCTTCTTTAAGTGGAAATTATATTGTTTCTTTTAGCTAAATTTACATTCATCTACGTTGAAGAGTAAGAGTCACATTTTTTAGAGGGCAAGCAATAAAAGTGATTTTATCCTTCAGTATCTCAGTTCCAAAAATTATTTGTCTTTTTTGTTAATAACTGTATTACCTAGATGTATAGTGTTTATATATGTATAATATATCCAGGTATATATTATACATATATATACACTATATATTATATATTTTTTCTAGGGGTTAATAAATTAGTATGTGTAAAGAATTTAACACAGTACCTACTACATAATAAAGTGTCAATAAATTGTAGTTATTATATCTTTATCATTTACCACACTTATAAGCATGCATTTGAAAATTCTTCACAAAATTATTTAAAAATTTTGCCCTTTGATAAAAGTTGTTTTCATTTAAATATAGAGTTTCTGTGACTTCCAAAATTCAAAACCAAGAGTTTCTCATAGAGTACTTTATTTTTAGAGAAAATTGTAATTTAACAGTTTGTTTCACTCTAATCCAGAAATGTGATTTCCATTTTCACTTGAGTGATCAGAAAAGAAAGGCAATTTGCTCTGGGACTCATTGTCAATGCTGTATATTGTACCACCACCAGTGTATAACCTTCTTAGGAGGCTGGTCAGTGACCTGTGATTATCAGAGAAGGGAACTGCTAGTTGAGGAACTGAAGGATGAATCTCTAATTTGGCTTCAGGAGAAAGTTCTAATTCTCATCTCCAAGGCCACAGTTTGTCATAGAGTGTCCTTGGGTGAGTGAACATGCCTGTTCTTTGTTGCTGGTTTGCTTTAATTCATTAGAACACTGTCAGTGGAACCAAATCTTAGATTTGGATTTGTGATTCAAGTCACAGATAAGGCCACTGCATGAACCAGCTGACTTCTGGACTGCATCCTTGCTGTGGGTCAACTATCTAGTGAAAACCCAGCAGAGTTTGGCTCATAAGAGACTGTCAGTGATATTGGTTGGATGGAAGTGAATTGGAGAGATACCAAATTATAGAGTGTCACTCCATCATCACAAATAGAAAAGCAGCCTAACATTAAATATCTTGGATAATTCTTGGTACCTCCTACAGGGGGTCAACAAATGAGGAGCCTACTATGTGAACTGCCTTGGTCAAAGCTGTTTCACTCTTTCATGAGCAAGGAACAGAAGTTTACTCAGGCCACATTGAGGGAGGGGAGGTATAGAAAATCTCATGGGCATTCATGGAGAACAAAGTACAGCAGAACCAACAAGAATGACAGCTGCAACCAGAACTTGACAAGACCACCAGGATTTGAGGACTCAATCTCTCAGGATTCTGTGGTCAAGCGGTGTAACACAGTGGATGAGAGCTCAGCCTTTGGATCAAAGAAGATGACGGTTCAAATTTGACTCTGCCACTACCACCGGTGTACTCTCGGGAGATGTTCTGGCTTTCTGTGTATCTGGAATATGATTTCATCTGGACTGCTCACTCGACATGCCTTCTGCCTTTGCACCGAGAAGCCACTTTCCAGTCATCCTGTAGGACCATTCTCCAGGACAAGCCCTTCTGTAAATCCTTCTCAACTGGCCTCATTTCTATGGCTTTCTCCCTTCACAAAACTCTCATTATACTTTCAGTCTGGGATACATAGATGCTGTCTTAAATTTTCTCTCATTTCTTATATAGGTTATTTTTTTCTCCTCAACTAAATTGTAAAGTTCTAGGAAGCATGGAGCATGGCTTGACCTCCATTTGCACTCTCTTCTCCATGAACGTGGTGTTGAGCACATGATAGCATATAAATGCTGGTTGATTATTATTCACAATAACAAAAAAAAGCTGTCAGTTACTGAGCTCTTATTCTGTGTTAGCTACCCTACTAAATCTGTATGTGTATTGTCTCATGCAGTACTCACAACTTGTGAGATAAAAGCTATTATGCTCATTTTATAAATTAAAAAAAAACTGAGGCTCAGAGAAATAAGGTAACTTGTTCAGATTCATCTAACAAAAAGGTGATGTCAAATTCAAACTCCAGGCTATTGGCACTCCTGCAATAGGAGGAGGCGTAGTCCCTGATTCAGATACTGCGGCAAGATGGAGACCAGGGAGCCTGCCTGGGAACCTCTCAAAGGATGCTTAATCTCATCACCTCTCTGAGAGCTGTGAATACCGTCTCCCATTTTGAGTGATCCATTGTTCCTGATATGGAACAATGCCCTGTTATGCCCTCAAGTGTATCACAAAGGAAAGAAAAATCAAAGAGTGATTTTCGTAAAATAAGTTTAACTTATTCACTCATTGGATATTTATTAAGCATCAAAGTACTCTTAGGCACCCCAGAGGACACAGAGCTTGGACGGTGCCATCAAAGAATTATCTTTGGCAATGATAAGTTCAGGACATGCAGGCAGCTGGTACATGAAATGTCATTTAAGAGGAGAAAAAAATAACTTCTGGTGGAAATCCAGGAAGAATTCATGATGGAGGTAGCATTTATTTGGTTCTTCAAACATGGGCAGTATGTAGACATATGGAGACTTTAAGGGAGGAAAAAAATCTATCCAACGGTACAGACAAGAAATATTATATAAGGCACTTGGCACCACTGGAGCAGTGTAAGATGAAGCAGAGTGTTGGAAGTAAATTGTTAAGGTGAGTTAAGGCAGGATTGTGAGGCCTTTGAATGCCAAGCTCGAGAGGCTGATGTGACCATTGGATGCCGTTAGAGATTTTAAAACAGAAAACTAAAATAACAAGGTAATCTGAAAATTTTAACCTGATAACGGGTTGTACTGTGAGTTTAATTTTGAAAGTGGGCAGAGGAGGGATAGGAATGGAGATAAGAATTGGACTGGTTTGATTATTGTAGAGTTGAGGAGGAAGAAACAAACGTAAATATACAACTGATGACGAGGCAACTGATTGACTGTGGGATCTGAGGAAGGCGAAGATGGATGATTCTGAAATCTGACCACTCAGAGAAGCATATTTGAAAAAAAAAATGATGTATCCTTTTTCAGCTCACCTGGAGGATATACAGTTGGAAATGGTATACAAACTATTTCAAAATAAGCAAGGACTGAAATGTTGGCAGGCAAGGAAAACAATGTGTAAAATATGAAGTATTTATTTAAAGGGTAAGTTTTGAGGGCATAGAGAGACATTGTTTGTCAAGGCCAGATACGAGGGGAGTTTTAAAGAAAAATGTTGGCCTTAAGCATACTAAAAGAATAGCTTGTCTATTTCATTTGCAGACCAAAGTTTGGAGGGAAATATTGCACTGGAGAAAGAAAACGCTATCGCTTGTGCAACGTCCACCCCTGTCGCTCAGATACACCAACATTTCGGCAGATGCAGTGCAGTGAATTTGACACTGTCCCCTACAAGAATGAATTCTACCACTGGTTTCCAATTTTTAACCCAGGTAAGGAGCTGTAACAGTGTATCTCAGATATAGGAAACAGCCATTCTCAAACCATTTGTATGTCAGTCAGGATTTCTATGATATACAAAGTTTAACAAAGAAAATTGTACCACCAGAAATTTTGTAATTTAGAAGATGGAAACGCCGACCTGGTTAAGTTGATCGGTAAATGTTGAAGACTGAATACATTCAAGTCTGTCTGAGCTTTGTGGGAGATAAAAGAAGTTTATAAAACATGGTGACTCACTTCAAAACTGCTGAGGTGCAATTGAGCAATTAATGGGGCATGGAGGAATTTAATAACTAATTGCTTGTTGATGGGCATGAGGAACTGATGGTGATTTATTCAGAAATTCAGGAGAGAAGGTCATTGTGGGTATGGAGTAATTGCAAAAAAATAGGCTTCCAGTGAAGCAGTTGATGATTCTTAAGACTACTCATGCTTTCATGAGCAGTCTTTTCACCAGAAGAAAGAAAAGGGAACGCATTCAAAATAGACTTATTCCAAGTGGGAGTAGAATAACAGGAGGAAAGCAAGATAATAGGAATGAATGAACATTTCTGGCCCAGCTCTGGGCCAGAAATTAGCATTTTACATGTACAGGAGTATGAGAAGGGTAAAAAGTAAAATCAAACATCTCAATGTTGCAAGTCAAGGATGGGGACAAAACGGAGTTGGAGAATGGAATAGCAGCCTTGGCAAAACTTCCAGAGTAAGGACCAGTTACACATTCTCTCCTTAAAATGAAGAGGAATCAATGACCATCAGCTAGAAATCAACATCAGATAACATTTGGTGTTGTTTGCTGTTACCTGATTAGGAAATGAAGCAGAAAAGATTTTCCTGAGCTAAAGAAATTTAAGGCAAGGTAGTAAAAAATAACTAATCAAAGTTTCCATGATTTTTGAGTTCCAGAAAATCCTGTATGACAAGACACAAGAAAAATCATAGATTTGAGAATCATGTATTTTGGCTGTTGGAACAATGACTTATGCAATAGCTTTTGAAGGAAAGACTCTGAAGTGCTTTGCTCAGCTCAGGTCTCCAAAATACCCCTATGGCTCTCGGTTGTCAAGGGCAACAATTGGTTGCCCGCAATTGTTCAGTGTAATTTATGCTCTAGAGGAGAAAACCAATCAGTTATTGGTGCAATTTAGCTTCCAGAGTCAGGCATTTGAATTCAGGAAAACCCATGCATATACCCAGGTGTACTCCAAAATTAACAAGTGACGAAAGGTACATTTAGTCAGTGCTATCTATGTGTAAATCCTGCACATTGTTAAAACTACTTGGGTCAGTGGTCCTGTCGACTCTGAATGAGCAGCCTGTCAGAGCTAAGAGAGCATAGCTACTCCAGTGGTGTCACATGTGCTTAGTATGGGATTCCCCCCTCCCAGATACACAGTTGGATTTGTGCGTATCTAACTCTGATGGCTCAAGCAGCGGGAATTGATTCAGCTTTGCTTTTCATTTGTTTTCAAGCATTCATCATGTGCCTACTTTTTGACTAGCATAGCAATAGGTACTAAAGAAGTGAGAGTTATACAAGTAGACATCAATTCCACTCACTCTAGAGTGATTGATTTGCAGCTCTAACTCAGATGAAGTTTGCCACCGCTGACCTTACTCCCTACCCGGTCAATCAGCATCGGTCCTCTATCCAGGTACTTTCTTTACAGACTCCTAGGCTATTATTTGGTCATTAGCAGATAATGACTTACCGGCTAGCCTGAATAGCTGCTACTTTGAACAGCACACTGATTACTTTCCCCATTATGCTCTGTCTACAGAGTTGCTATTTGCTTAGTTAACAGCATCCCTGGCAGTAGGTCGTTCATGTCAAAAAGGATGGATGGAGCATTTTTTCTGTGCCAAATATCGAGTGCCTCACAGCCTCCCAGGCATCCTTTTAGAAATTACCAGAGGATGAAATAAACGTACAGCAGAGTTTTCTTCCCCCTCAGTGGGCAGTGATACTTCCCACAGCACTTTATATGCTTTCTCTAATTTTATCTCCACAAGAAAATCCTTCAAGGAAAAGCTAGTTTTGACCCAGTTTTTAGAGATGAGCTAATAGGTTCAGAGGTCCTACGTAACTTGCCCAAACTCAGACTATAGGATAGAACCAAGTTAGTCCAGGCCTGACTCTGCAGCCTGATCGGTAAGCACGAAAACAAACAGGGACTGGGTGAAGTTCATTTCCTTAATACCGATGCACTGAATTTTGAATTTTCCCTAAGGCAATGTTCATGTCTCTAAAACCTTCCATTATTTCATAAGCCAGGAGCTCTAGTGGAAAACCTAACCACCCTTTGTAGTATGATTAAGGCTCAGTTTATTAAACCTATAAATCTTACCCTTGAAAGCCAGTGTTTTCTAAACATTTAAGCATTGATGACTAATTATTACATTACTTAAATAATTAAAGTTGTGATTCAAAGTTTACTTCTTAAGCATCTTAACCAAAAAGACAGAACTTAGAGCTACACAGTAAATAGAAAACTCTTACTGCACTTAGCCTAGTCTAAAACGTCAACACAGCCAGGCATAGTGGTACACACCTGTAATCCTAACTAGTCAGTAGGCTGAGGTGAGAGGATTGCTTCAGTGCAGAAGTTTAAGGCTGTAGTGACCTATGAAGACCCTGCCTCTATAGAAAAATAAAATAAAAATAAAACATCAACGAAAAGGGTTTAATTTATTTTAAAAAATTATTTCTACTTTTGTTTTTATACCTGTCTGGGGTTACTATAGAATATGTTCATTTTAATGCCTTCTTATATTTCACTAATACATATTTCTATGTATTGTGGGGATTACAATAGCATTACCATATTAGAAAGTACAAGAATACCATTTTAGACTAGCCAAAGAGTTCAGACTCTTGGTGATCACTTGACTGATTTAGGGCTGTGATACAGAGTCAGAAGTTTTCATTTTTGCTTTGTCCCTCAAGCTGATTTGATTTTAGTTATTAAGCTGAGCTTCCTTTTTAAGTTAAACATAACTTCTTGCATCATTAAAACATTTTAAGTTACACCTTTTGCTTTGAGATTTAGCATTTCTTGGGATCTGTTGAGGAGCGGCAGGGGTGCACACCACAGATCCCTTCTCTTCATGTGCACACTGCCTTCCCCTTTTGGCCTTCCCTTACCGAACACAAGTTCAAAAATAAAATGATTAAGAATTTCAAGACAGAGATGAAGGCATTCAAGCAAGTGTGAGGTCGTGGATGAAAGCACAGGTGTTATGCCCATGAATCCCTGCACGTGAATGGAGTTTAGAAACTGGATTCTTTGAGGTGATAAACTCACATTCCAGTCTATTCACAAAACATGAAATGCATCAAAACTTTTCCTTGCCTAAGAAATATTTTTGTCCTTCTTAGCAAGTTAGAGCTTTTGTTTCTATCATTTATGAAGATCATTATCCAAAAATGTTGAGCCATCCTGTTTCCGCAAAATTAAAAATGCAAACTTTGATTCAGTAAGTTCATCTCTTTTCTTAAGCTCCCTTTGAGAGGATTAATCAGACAGTGGGAGGGTAAAAGTTCACCGCAAATTAGTTTTAGAGCTTTCATTTAGCTGAATTATAAATGGACTTGAAAGTTCTTGAAACCTAGAGGGGAAAAAATTACATGACCCTACAAAAGGATGTATCAAGGCAGGTGAATAAATGTGAGACAAGGAAAGTACTCAACTCTATAGGGATGATAGACTGAACAAGGTTGATGACTGGCACAGAGAATCTCTGAAACCCGTGATGACTCCTGAGAATGAAGACCATTCATTACCACCCTTGCCTCATCCTGCAGATCCCTGTGTCACAGGACAACCTAATGACATAACCAGAGCCCTTTCAGAGCACTGTGAAAGAGAACAGCCAGAGAAGGAGGGGACAGAGAAGGAGGACCTCTGGCTCAGCCTTATAAAAGGCTTGAATAGCACTAAACCTTCCATTTGCAATGGTTGCTTTCATACACAGTTTTCTCTCTGGCCTGAGGCATGCCTATAGGTCATGGTGTTGGGAGCTCTGGGAGAGTCACAGCAGAGGTTCTGTGCTGTCATTGTCATTGTCACAAATGTTATTTACTAGACAATTTCTAAGACTCCCTAAACCACTATACTTATCGTCAATACACATGTGCCTTTCTTGTGGGCAGTGTACTTCAGTTAACCTGTCTAACCTTGAAGGATGTACTAGTCCTGTGCTGTGAAAACAGGGTGGAGGGAAGTTTTGAAATTAGGTCCTCTTTTCATGGAGATATGTCATGATTATCGCTGAGGAAAGAAGATTTTTCCAGTTTTCCTGTTTGAGACCCAAGACTTATTATTATGAAAAGGAATATATGTGTCTTATGAAAATGCAAGTGCACGTAAGAATGAAACAAAAATAAATTCTTATCCCACTGCATTTAATGTATTCCTCCAAGATAATCATGCTAACAGCAGGTCTTCATTTGCACACAAATAGAGCCATAATTTGCTAATTCTGCAACTTAATTCATTGAGTAGATCATGGCATCATGGTTTACCTCCCTCCTTTCAGTGACTGCATAGCATTCCATTATGTCAATGCAACTTAGTGAATCTGTCTGTTTCTCTCTGAATAAAAATTCCATTGCCACAATAAACATGCTCCAGTCCCAACTGTCCCAGCAGTCTTGAAACAGATCATTCCTTACAAAAGCTCCAGAACTGTTCAAAGCTGCTTTCTATTTTTGCTTCATGTATTCCAAATACAGAATCCCAAATCCAATTCTAAAGCTTAAACCAAAGTCTTAGTAAAATAATCCTTGAATTCAGCACCTGGATTGATGTTCTCATCCCTGGGAGAACAGAATTATTCCCAGGTTGCTCCCTCTAGTACTTATATTCCAGTTTGGGCAGTAACAGAGCTAATCATGCTGCCAGAAATGGAGATACACAATAATCCCAAGTCATGCTTTCTCCCAGGGTCTTGACACTTCCACTGGCACTTTGTCCAATGATATCTTCAACTCATTTTGACTCTGTCTATCTTGTCAGACAGCTTATCCACTGCACCTTATATGAAATCAGTTAATTTTCTTTATTTGTGCATTTCCATTTACCTTTCTCTTTTAAGCTTTTTTTTTTTTATTTGGGGGAACATGTACTTGTTCAAGTGTACCCATTACCCAAATATTGTACACTACCCAATAGGTCATTTTTCAACCCTCACTCTCCTTCCACCCTCCTTGCTTTTGGAGTCTCCAGAGTCTATCTCCATCTTTATGTCTATGTATATCCAATGTTTAGCTCTTACTTAAAAGTGATATCTAATTTTCTGCTTCTGAACTAGTTCACTTATCCCTTTAAGGCTTTAAACAGATGTTTTTGACCTCAGTCTCAAGTTTGTTCAGAGGTTCAGCATTCAGAGCTTTTGCTCATCATTATATTTGTGTGAGTTTTGCATTTTCATTTCCTGGCCCCCTCAAGCAGACACAGCTATCACTGTGCACTCAGGCTTGGCATTTGGTGCACATCCCAGTGAGGTGGGCCGGTGATGAATAGCCTTATGGCTGGTACCACGGAGTCCTGAGCTGACCACATGATGAAGCAATGAGCAGCCCTGCCCATACTAAACACGTCCAGAAGAGACCCCGAAATCCCTTCTGAAGAAGACATGATTGTGTTTCTCACTTAAAGAAAAACATTCATTACATTCATAAGAAAATTATTACTTGAATTCTTCTTATCATATACATTTATTGGCTATTATAAATTTTAAGGCAACCTGTGATTTGACAGTTACCTGTCTTTCTGGTTATTCTGTGTACACACATATGGGTGTGTATGTTATTAAGTAAATGTTCCTGTGCTCTAGATCATCCTGTCTTCATTCACAATGGAGTAGAAAACTGAACCTTAGACTGGATTCAGTGTAGGACCCAAGATGATGGGATGGATCACTATGATAAGCAGGTTGGCTTCAGCTTCAACAAAAAATGTTTCTACGTGGTTGTTAATCTAAGCACCTCTTAGACTGGAGGAGGACATTTGCTGGGGCAGGGTTATGCTGCTGGTGATGGAGGTTGTGGTAGTAATGAGCTGGCTCTAGGGGAGGGGATGCCTGTCCTCTGCGGGCTACTTACTTTGCTGGAAGAAAGGAGCAGGCTTCCTGCTTGCCTGAAGTCCTGCATGGCTGGTTGCAATAACTTATTTCCTAAGCTAACCCCAGATGCCCAGTGTCTTATTTTTATAAGGACAATTCGATGTTGAATAGAAAGGAGTCGTCGTTTACAGCAAAGAACAGAACATTTTAAAGCAGTCTTTTAATTGAATTCATTATAAAACTTTTATTGAAAAAGGAAAAAGCCCATACTTCAGCATGTGTCTAAAGAAGGTAAAAAGAAGAGATCACTGGATTAAATGACACTTGGGGGTGATAAATACAGAAGAACCCTGGGGGAGGATGCTGAGCTAAAAAGCTAACTTGCAAGGATTTGCCTTCTTTTTTCCTTCAGCACATCCTTGTGAGCTCTACTGCCGACCCATAGACGGCAAGTTTTCTGAGAAAATGCTGGATGCTGTCATTGATGGTACTCCTTGCTTTGAAGGCGGCAACAGCAGAAATGTCTGTATTAATGGCATATGTAAGGTATTGGGTATGTTTCCTTAATCTACAACTTTACAAAATCATGATTTTTATTAATTTGGGAAGTCAGATGTTCTAAGTTTGTGCTTTCACAGCATTTACACCTCATATGTTTTTATATATACTTTATGAAACAAAAAAAACAAGACTTCTCAGTGTTTGTCAAAGTCACAGTTTTAAGATTAAATAGTTTTTTCCTCCTGTCATCTTTATTTCTTGATTGGTTGCTGTGCATTATGATATTATTTTAGACATTGAACAGAAAAAGAGGAATTACCAGGCAAAGCCAGCCCAGATTATTTCGGTGGCACTAAATTCGAGAAAAACTGAAATTAATAATAGTTTATATGGTAATTTTCATAAAGCATTTTCACATTTAATTCTCCATTGACTATCAACATGAGCTTCCTAGAGAGATGGCATGACAGCAGTTACAAAACAGGCTTCTGATTTCTATGTAACTTTTCCACACTCACTTCATTAGACCTGATGTGTTAACGCTCTTAAGTATGTAACTACTAAAGGATTCCTTCTTTTGCTTGCATTTTATTTTACAAGGAACTGAGGAGCAGGATTTCTGATCCAATGACCAAGGATAAATCTCAGTTTAAAGAGAAAGTGTTTTTAGTCTCTTAAAGGAAGATGTGTTAATCAGTTAGTAAATCATAATGGTTTAGCACTGGAGTTTTAGAATATAAACTCGATAGCATCATTTACTCGCTGTATAATCCCTTACATCTTTCTAAGACTCAGTTTTCTGTCATAAAATTTGGATACTTTTATGTATCTACCTAGTTGGAGTTGTCAAAAGATTTATTTAATCTGTAGGTCTGCTAACCTAAATAACAAACAGAGAGAGGTTCGCTAAAAGAAAATGAAGCCTATTTGGAAATAGTGCATTGTGACGGGAATATGTACACCCTAATTAATCATGTGCATACTTAGGAAGGTGAAGGAAGACAAAGGTTTTTAACAGAAAATGAACATTTTTAAAGAAAAAAAGTTGGAGAGGATTGCAAATTGTTTTTAAATAATTGTTATTTTCTACACAGATCAATAACAAGGGTGACACCAATCCAAGGTTGCCCAGGAAGTTGCTGGGCAAATGTCATTGCAAAAGTGTTTTTTGGGTAAGGTCTCAATAGCCTGTGTGCAAGGGTGTGGTTTTAGCAGAGTCTTTTACATTACCAGGCATAAAAAGGTGAGAACTCATTCTTCCTATCCTTCCCTGGCTACATTCACGTGTTTTTCTTAACATTAGTTGCTCCATTTTGATTCTGACAACTTTCACAGGTCATGTATGTTAAGCTCTTAACAGAGGCCCCAGTGTAAAATAAACTCTCAGAAAACAGATTTGTTAACTCAAAAATTTTGTTTTTAAAAAAGTATTTATGATAATTTTTTTCCCCTGGACAAAATAGTTCCCTGTGACACGCTCTTACCCCTAAATATTCAACACTCTGAGAAGGTGCATATTTCCCTTAGCAATTGCTTTTTCATTTATTTTTTCAAAGCACCTGTTTTCCATCACGGGCTAAAGATACTGTTTCTATGAATGCAAAGTTGTTTAGATCTAGAAGATAACTTCAACATCACATTTACTCCTTAGTGACTGAAGTCCTCAGACCTAGCTGCATATAATAATCACCTGGGGAGATTTTAAAACATCAATGCCCAGACCACACATCCCAGAGATTCTGAATTAATAGGTTTGAAATGGACCCCAGACATCAGTAATTTCTAAAAGCTCTCCGGGCGATTCTAATAAGTAGCCAGGATAGAGAACCATTATAAGTTGGATGTCTTTCTTGAAGCCAATCAAATGAGCCTAATAGAATAAGCCAGATTTTATCAGCTTGCCTTCCTCTTTCTGGGAGCCAGTTAAGACCTTTTAGAAGATACAATTGCCCACTTTCTGTCTACACAACACTGATTTGAGCTTTTAAACTGAAAAATGGTGTCAAATCAAATATATTTAATAGCCCAAATACTTTGTCTTTAAGTATCCAGATTGCAAGTAGTTCCAGGCTCCTTATTTGTTAGTCTTACTGTTACCCTCCTTATTCATTTACTAGTTGGTTTTTGATTTTTGAGACGGAGTCTCACCCTGTCGCCTAGGCTGGAGTGCAATGGTAAGATCTTGGCTCACTGCAGCCCCTGCCTCCCAGGTTCAAACAATTCTCCTGCCTCAGTCTCCAAGTAGCTGGGACTACAGGTGCCCACCACCATGCTCAGCTAATTTTTATATTTTTGGTAAAGACGGGGTTTCACCATGTTGACCAGGCTGGTCTCAATCTCCTGACCTCGTGATCCTCCCGCCTCAGCCTCCCAAAGTGCTGGGACTACAGGCATGAGCCACCATGCCCAGCCTCATTTACTAGGTTTTTTCAAAGGTGATTGTGCATGCATTGACATAAAAAGATATGCTTTCAGGAAAAAAAAATGTATGCAGTATTTGTCTAATCTACATTCTTTGTGAATATGAAAATATGTTTGTTTACATCCATGTCTATTTTGCCTATTTTTAAATTATAATATTTGCCAATATTTTGGTATGTTAGAGTAGCAGATTATATTGTCAAGGAAACTATCACGTCCTGATCAGAGATGAATTAGTTCTGGGAGGTAACTGTGCCCTTCCCCGTAGACTTTTTTTAGGAGGCTTGTTTATCAAAGATACAGATTTAAATTTGGATGTTTCAGGACATCTTCCAGTTTAAATTACGAGAATAAGGTTTTAAAAATGAGCAAATGCCCTACTCACCTGCACCCACTTCCAGCTCTGAACTCTCACTGTCATACCCACTGTCTGAGTCCAGCTTGCTAGCCTTCCAGCTCTCTCCCCTCCTTCTCCTGGTAACCGGTTGCTTGACTTCAGCTCATGGACTCCTATGTCTTCACCCAGTCAGCATAGCATTGACTGAATTTCCTTCCAGAATAGACCAGATGCCCTGGTCTGTCCATCAGCTGCTCCCTAACCTTCTCTTAACTTTCCACCAATCTCTTACCCCAGTTCTGGATAAAGTTCTGGATCCACCCACTCACACCCCTTTCTTGGCCATTAGCCTACTGTGCACTTCTTATAATAAAAATTCAGTGTTATGAATGTGTGTCCTTACAAAGTCAATGTCTTCAATCCACCTAAGCTTTTACCCTTATGTGACAATCTTCCCACTGTCCCAAGTTAGCGTCCTCACTCATTTCTCTCAAAAACTCTTCTGAACCTTCTTTGATCTCCAAGGCCATTTTAGTCATCTCAATAATACACTACACATCCCTAAATCAATTGCTCTGAGCCAGAGGTACCTCAAGAATACCAGATCCTATCTCCTGACCCTCAAAGACACAATAGTTACTTCAATCTTAACATTTCTAAATTAAAATTATACCTAATTCTTACCCCAACCTGTTCTTCTGTAGTACTTCTTTTCGGAATGATGCTAAAACCATCTGTACAGATATCTAGGCCAGAAATCAGTAAGTCATTCTTGGGTCCTTCTCAACTCTCCTCTCACAGTTAATTACTCACTACGCCACCAACACCACCACCATCACCACCATCACCCCACTATCAACACCACCATCACCACCACTGCAGCCATTACCACCACCGTATCACCACCACAATTATCACCTAACCATCACCACCACCATCACCACCACTTCTGACATCACCATCACTACATCACCACCACCACCATTGTCTATCACCACCACCCAACCATCACCACCACCACCACCATCAAATCAACACCACCACTACCACATCACCACTACTACTGCTACCTCCACCACCACCACCATCACTCCACCATCACCACCACCACTACCACCATCACAATACCACCACCACTTCATCACTAACACCTTTACCACATCACTACCACCACCACTACCACCACCACCACCACCATCAAATCACCACATCACCACTACCACCACCACCAACAAATCAGCACCATTACCACATCACCACCACCACCATCATCAAATCACTACCACCATCAAATCAACACTACTGCCATACCACCACCAACACCAGCAACCATCACGCGACCATCACCACCACATCATCATCACCACCACCACCACTACTATCAAATTACCAACACTACTACCATATCATCACCACTAACACTACCTTCACTACCAGTCCACCATCACCACCACTACCACCACCAGCGCCCCACCATAGCCACCACCACATCATCACTACCACCATTACTACATTACCATCACCACCACCATCAAATCACCACCACCACTACCACATCACCACTACTACCATCACCACTATCATCAAATCACCACTACCACTATCATATTACCACCACCACCATTACCATGAAATCCACACCACCATTACCACATTACCACCACCAACATCAAATTATCACTATCACCACCACACCACCACCACCACCACCATCATCAAATCATCATTACCACTACCACATAGCTACCACTACAACTACCACCATAAAATCACCACCCCTACATCACCACCACCACTCGAATGGGCAAAATGAGGCTGTGTTAGTTCCCTACAGCTGCTCTAACAAATTATCACAAACTGGATGACTTGAAACAAAAGAAGTGCGTTGTCTCACAGCTCTGGAAGCTAGAAGTCTGAAATCAAGTTTGTCAGCAGGACCATGCTCCCCCTGAAGGTTCTAGGGTAGAACCCTTCCTTGTCTCTTCCCAGCTCACCGTGGTTGTGGCCAATCATTGGCATTCCTGGAGCTACGTCACTCCAATTTCTGCTTCCATCTTCACCTGTTCATCTTCCTTCTGTGGGTCTCTGTCTCCAAACCTCTATCTCCCTATCAGGATACCAGTCATTGTATTTAGGGCCAATCTAATTCAGTATGACCTAATCTTCATTTGATTACATCTACAAAGATTCTATCTCCAAATAAGGTAACATTCACAGGTACCAGGTATTAAGACTTCAACATTTTTTTAGGGGACCCAGTTTAATCCATAAGCACCTACCTTGAAAAGCTATGGGGAGGAAAGCCTACTGCTACTGTCCCATCGTTACAGGGCAACATCATCTACCTTTTCTTTTTGGCTAAGTACAGCTCTGCCCTAAGTATCTTGACACTTTAAGTTTCATGGGCTGGAAATGAACCAGACATTCTCCCAGTCTCTACCTTTGCCAAGAACTTTAGAAAGAAATGATCATATTCAGGTGGATTAGATCAGTTCTTAGTAATTTAAAAATCTGCAAAGTAAAATCATATTAACGTCTTATTGGAAAACAATGAGAACTGATAAGGATATCTCTTACTTATTCACTCAGGGAGGGCTAAGTGCCTAGAGAAAGGCAAGGACCTGATTTCCCTAGGTCACTCTGCAGGTAGCATGCCCATCAGTGCAATTGTCTCAGGGTCAAGAATTGATAAGATGGGAAATGAAAGTGATTTTTTTTTTCACAAACACACTACCTGTTGGGGTGGTTGCCTGGCCTCTTCAGAGTCACATTAGAGAAGGGTCATGCTGAAGTCATTTTCCACAGTGGGTAGCAGCAGTGGAGCCACCTCTGATTCTGCTGAACGCAGAAGAGCATGCTGCTGTGGGCTTTCCATGTTGCCAGAGCATGTGTGATAAAGGAGGGGAGTGAAGTTTGTTTCCTTTCCCCTGAGAGCCCCTTATGTTTTATATGCAACAAGAAGGACTGGTTTGTGTCTTCACAGACCTTCTGTCGTATACTTAATTCAGTTTTTATGGCACTGCATGCAGCTCACAGGAAAACTAAATTGGGTGAGCCTCTGAAAGAACTCATTTAACATGCTGTGGGACAGAACGCTGGGGACATGGGTGTGTCTCCTTCCCCCCACCCTTGTCTTTCCGTTATGCAGGCAAATATCACTTTAGAAATATTACCACCCATTCAAGAAGAAAGACTTGGGCTTCAGATATTTGCTTTTCTGACTTTCTTTCCTTTATTCTTCACATTTTTTATATCTGTTTCCCTGCCGGTAGAGATTAAAGAAAATATTTTAAAATTAATATACCTCAGAGTTAATTTTCCTAGCTCATTCCAAATCAGTGAAGGAATGAAGGCCACTGGGAGTATGGTTGTGAAGGTCAGCTTGTTAGAGGATGCTCAAGCTGGATGCGAACTTCTTGTTTGTGAAGGGTTGGCATTTTACTTGTAATCACTGAAGGCACCTGTATCACACATTGCTTTTATTCCCATTGTTATTAGCATAATTAAGTTTTGTGTCTTTAAAAAAAAATCTCTTAGCACTTTTTTTGTTTCCCCAACTGGGTCAAGCAGCGCAGTTTTTGGACCTAAAGGAAATTAAAGACAGTTAACCTAAAGAAGGTTATTTTCGATTAGTGGGCATTCATTCTCTGCTTAACTGGTACAGAGTGTATTTAAAGACTCAAAGTAAGCCCGGTGTGGTACCTGCAGTCCCAGTAACTCAGAAGGCTGAGGTGGGAGGCCAGGAGTTCAAAGCTGTTGACTGTACTCCAGCCTGGGCAAAATAGCAAGATCCCATCTCTCTTTAAAAACAGATTCAAACCATTCTTCCTTTAAATAGATTTGAGGTGGCTTTCCAGTTAGAAAGGAAATGATCTTTAAAGATCAAAAAGGAAATAAAACTATCTGGGCACAATTCTTCCCAAACAAGAAAGAAAATCACGAAAGGAATATGGTATAGTTTTCCCTTGTGGTCATGGAAGAAAGCAAGCAACAGAAAAGTCCAGGTGAAGGTCAGATACGGTTCAGGACTTTGAAACTAAGTGTCATGATTCTTTGGTGTCCACTCTTACAAAACACCCCACGCTTCATGGCTCTCCTTTTCCAGGATAAGAACACATCTGAAAGAGACTTGCTGCTCTATCAACTTCAATTCCAAGATGTTTTCATAATTAGATTTTGGGACCATTTTCTTAGATTTTGCTCAGTTCCGCCTCTGACTCAGGAAATTAGACCTCACTCAATGTGTGCCTCCCTCCCCTCTGAGCAAGTAGTCCCTCTACCATTGATGGATGCTTGAATATTCCTCTTGCTGCCACCAGGAACATTTGTCCTTGTGTCCTGGTACCTCCTGCCCAGTATAAAGCACCAAGGGGAAAAGGAGAAGTCACAGATCCATGCAAGAGTAGCCTCTCGTGCCTCAGCATTTATCCTCCACCTCTCTTACCCACAGATTGTTGGCTGTGACTATGAGATCGATTCCAATGCCACAGAGGATCGCTGTGGCGTGTGCCTGGGAGATGGCTCTTCCTGCCAAACTGTGAGAAAGATATTTAAGCAGAAGGAAGGATCAGGTAATAAACAAATAAATAATTGAAGTGATGGGACCAAAAGTTGGGGAGCAAGAAAAATGTTTGATTGATTCCTAGTTTTTGTTTTTATTTGTTTTAAAACAGGCTGTGACAGAGGAGTGAGTGCTCCTTGGCAGTTTTAGGGAAGGAGTTGATTGCTGAGAAAATACAGGATGCATCACAGTGAGAGAAAGAACCGAAATGGCCTGTGGCTGTGCACAGGAAGAGGTGTAAGAGTGTGATCCTGGGGAGAGGATCCCCTCTGGGAACAGGCATCACAAGAGGATCCAGCACTAAAGCCAATGGTGGTAAAGCCAATGGCATTGGAACAGACCGAGAACTAGGGGAGAGAAGAGATTAGACGCTAGCTGAGGAGGCTGCAGACACAAGGACAGATTCTGTAGTGAGGACAAAGAAGCCAGCAATTGGTTTACAAGGAAAAGTATTGGGGTACACCTTCAATTCAAAGTCAAAAGAGACTCAAGGGAGGGTTGCAGCAGATCTCTTTTATTCACAATTGCTCCCAAGTGCGAGAGTCAAAAGAGAAGCAAGACAGGGTTGCATCAAATCTCTTTTATTCTCTGTTGCTCCCAAGTGGGAGAGGTCCCACCCACTGCCCCCTTATGACTTTCCAGACAGCTCCTGCACCTAGCATCCCCTTCTTACCCACACTCTGCTATTCTTCTCCCATAGCCACCTTTTGCAGAGTTTCTTCTCTGTGGAGCTTTGGGCTATGGATATTACTCAGGGCAGGAAGAGTCCACCTTGAAGGGTGGACCCCAAGGAAGAGTCAGTTCCCAAGGAAGGCAGCTAAGAAAGAGTCAACCATATTATGGGAGCCATGGCAGAGCTTGCACCTCTGAGTTTCCCCCACCTGAGGGGTGAAGACATTGAGATAATATACACCACTTTCCACCAGTCATGGGTTGAGGTTACTCTAGGGCCATCAGACTGTTAATTCTCTGGATTCCATAGGAATGCTGGGAGTAGGGAATCCGTCTTGCACTATTGCAGTCATGCCTGAGGGGAGAGGGGCAGTGTGTGCTACACGAGGTGATGCCCAGGACAGGAAGTGATAACCACTTTCAGAGATGGTAAAGCCCTGTTTTCCTGGATACTAGAAAAACAACATCTCTCTCCTAGACATGCTTCCTACCCAGGATGCAGTTACTAAGTAGGACCCTGAGAGTATCTATCAGGTGTGTCCTTCAGTTAATTACGTGACCTGTTGTTTCCTAGTAATCATAATAGCAAACAATCTAAATTTAATTTTCATCCTTATTTTTTCATCTTTGACTATTGGATTACTAAGGTTAAATTGTGAAATGTAATGCTTGTCCTGCCCATTAGAATTATCATTGGAAGATTGTATTTCATGTCTTTGATTGATAGCTTTATGATGGATGAAAAATATTCTCTGGATTACTTATTAGGAATGTGAATAATAACCCAGTATGTCTTAAGCTTATGATTAAACACCCTATGATAGCCAATGTTTTTATAACCTTTACAAAGGTGTTTTGTAAATATCTTTCATGATTTAGATGTGGCTTTATTTACTTGACTTACAAAAAGTCACACTTAAAATTTCAACCTACTTTATTTAATTTTCTTTATTTAATTTTATCTTGGCGTCTGATGTGCTGTTCTTCTAATATTATGATAACTTGATTGAAAACCAGATTTGTTGTCCCCAAGTCTCTTCCACTTAACCTTTTAATCCATTAGGAAATCCGACTCTATTTCTGGGTTTCTTCCACTGCCCTGGTCTCTTAGGAATGAGAAAATGGGTTATAAATGTCTTCTTCTCCCCTCTCACCTTCACCCCTGCCTCCAAGATCTCAGTACCTCTGGCCACATGCCCAGCGCTGAGCATTGGATATCTCCCTGTGCCTTTGTGCTTTCAGTTCTCTTTCTTCCATGTCCCTCCCCTACAATTCCTTTCCACTGGCTTCTAACAAGAGGGTTATGAGTGCTCACATTGTGTTACAAGGTTCCAATTCCCTCACCACCCTCTTTTGAGATAACTGAGACTAAGAGTCTAAATCTAAGGCAAGGCAATTCAACCCATCAAAATGTCTACCAGGTACTGTTATTTTTATATATTTCTTCCTCATTCTGTGGTTTGTGAGCCTGTCAAACACTGGTTTGTATCTGAACCAGACACCTATGTGTCACTGCTCTCAAGCCTGAGAACAGACATGGACCAGCCTTTCCCAGGAACCTCCACACATAAATCGTGAGATATTGGCCTGCAGTGAGCATTGTCTCAAACGGACAGCATAAACCTTTAAAAAGACAAGCTGGTCATTGTAGATAAATCGCCCAGGGTTAATGGCATAACCTCTTTATGAGCACATTTTTACTAGAAATGTCAAAGACTGGAGACCAAATACGCTAGTGAGTAAAGTCCGTTTTTGTAGACCACAAAGAACAGTTGGATAAGATGTGTGTTAGCACCAACAATGCATGATGTCTCTTGTCACAATGTCTCAGAAATCAGAGCCTTTTTTTGCCCCATCCTCAAACGTCCTGAGTATTACTTTTTGTTGTTGTCAAGAAAGAGTCTTGCTCTGTCTCCCAGGCTGGAGTACAATGGCATAATTTCAGCTCACTACAGCCTCTGCCTCCCGGGTTCAAGCAACTCTCCTGCCTCAGCCTCTTTAGTAGCTGGGATTACAGGCACGTGCCACCATACCTGGCTAATTTTTGAATTTATTTTAATAGAGATGAGGCTTTACCATGTTGGCCAAGCTGGTCTCGAATCCTGACCTCATGATCCACCCATCTCAGCCTCCCAACGTGCTGGGATTACAGGCATCCTGAGTATTCTTTTAGTTCACGGTGCTCAAGACTGAGATAGTTTCTCCAGGTGGTCTCCTTGGACCCAGAGACTTCTTTCTTGAGGTCAGAATTATGTTTCTCCACTTCCCCTAATATTGGTACAGGTGGCTAATGCTTACACTGGGGAAGATGCAAGAAAATTGATTTGCTGAACAAATGTGCTCATCATTCTTAATACAGTTGACCCTTGAACAGCATGGGGTCAAACTGAATGAATCCACTTAGTATGAAGATGTTTTTCAATAAATATATTGAAAAAACTTTCGGAGATTTGTGACAATTTGAGAGAACTCACAGATGAACTGTGTAACCTAGACATATCAGAAACATTAAGAAAAAGGTATGTCATGAATGCATAAAATATATGTAGATACTAGTCTCTTTTATCATTTACTACCATAATATATCCACAAATGTATTATAAAATGTTAAAATGCGTTAAAATTTATGCCCACAAACACCTACAGACCATACATGGCACGATTTGAAATTGAGAGAAATGTAAACAAATCAAAGATGCAGTAATAAGTCATAGCTGCATAAAAGTGACTATGTTAATACTGTACTACTGTAATAATTTCAGAGCCACCTCCTGTTGCTCTTGTGGTGAGCTCAAGTGTTCCAAATATATGCTTAAAACACTGTGTAATGCTAATCATCTCCACGTGAGTAGTTCATTTGTCCAGGAAATTGCGTATCACAGTAAAAAGTGATCTTGAGTATTTGTCATTGTGTTTAGTGCAATACCATAAACCTTAAGTAACACCATGGGATTCATACAAAGTGCCACTAGCGAGGCTGGAAATGCTCTAAGAAGCAGAGAAAAGTCATGACATTATAGGAAAAAGTTGAATTGCTTGATATGTACCACAGATCGAGGTCTGCAGCTATAGCTGTCTGTTATTTCAAGATAAATGACTCTAGTGTAAGTATCATTATAAAAAAAAGAAAAGGAAATTTGTAAAGTCGTCACTACAGCTATGCCAGCAGGTACAAAAGCCTTGCACTTTTTGTGAAACTTATCTTTCATACAGCTTTCACGTGGGTGCAGGACTGATATAGAAAGGCATGACATATCGATAGACTCTGATGTGATTCAATATAAAGCAAACTCATTATGTGACAACTTAAAGCAAAAGGAAGGAGAGGGACCTAAAGCTGGAGAAGTTAATACCTGCAAAGTATGATTTGATAATTTTTGAAAGAGGTTTGCTTTTAAAAATGTCAAGATAATAGGAGAAGCAGTCTCTGCAAGAGGCAGCAGATGAGCCCCCAGATGCCATTAAGAAAATCCATGAAGACAAAGGATATCTGCCTATACAGATTTTTAATGTGGATTAAAGTGTCCTATTGTGGGAAAAACATGGTAAAAAGAACATTTATTAGTAAAAAAGATAAACCAATACCAGGATTTAAGGTGGGAAGGAATAGGCTACCTCTATGGTTTTGTGCAAATGCAGTCAGGTTCATGATCAGGCCACCCTCATCTATAAAGGAGCTAACCTAACAGCCTTGAAGGGAAAAGATAAACACAAGCTGCCAGCCTTTCGGTTGTACAAGGAGAAGGCCAGGACTTCTTCCGAATTGGATGCTGTGATGCTTTGTCCATGAAATCAGGAAGTACCTTGCCAGTAAGGGACTGCCTTTTGAAGTTCTTTTGATAGTGAACAATGCCCGTGGCCACCAAGAACTCCATGAGTTCAACACCAAAGGTGTCAAAGTGGTCTACTTTCCCCTAAACACAATGTCTCTAATTCAGCCTCTAGGTCAGAGGGTCATAAGGATCTTTTAGGCTCATTACACACAATACTCTATGGAAAGGAGCGTCAACATTGTGAAAGAGAACTCTGATAGAAGACATGGTAAAAGTCTGGAAGGATTACAACGTTGAAGATGCTATTGTCATAGAAAGCACCAGGAAAGCCTCAAGCCCAATTTCTGCTGGAGAAAACTGTGTCCCAACGTTGTGCACAGGACTTATGACAGAGACAGTCAAGGAAATCATGAAAGAGGTTGTGAATGTGTGAAAAATGTGGGGGTGAAGAGTTTCAAGATACGGGTTTTGGAGAAATTCGAGAGTTGTTAGACACCAGGGGAATTAACAGGAGACGAGTTGATGAAAGCATTCTTCTGAACCATGACCAGATGATGGTCCAGGAAAGAAGATGGAGAAGAAACAGTGCCGGAAAACAAACAGACATTGGACAGTCTAGCAGAAGGGTTCTGCTTTCAATTTATTTTATGACATAGACTCTTCTATAATACAGGCACTGAAACTAAAGCAAATGGTGGAAGAAGGATTGGTACCATATAGAATACTTTTAGAGAAATGAAAAAGCAAAATGTCAGACAAATTACAATGAATTTCTGCAGTTTCAGAGTGTGTCTACCTCTCTTCCTCCATCTCCACCTCCTCCACCTCTGCTACCTGAGAGAAAAATCAACCCTCCTCTACGTGTTCCTCCTCAGCCTACTCAGCATGAAGACAACAAGGATAAAGGTCTTTATGCTCATCCACTTCCACTTAATGAATGCTAAATACATTTTCATTACGAATTCCTTAACATTTCATTTTCTCTAGCTTATATGATCATAAGGATACAATATGCAATGCATATAACACAAAAATTATGTATCAGTGGACTGTTTGTGTTATGGTAGGGCTTCTGACCAGCAGTAGGCTATTAGTAGATAAGTTTGGGTATAATAAAAAATTACACACAGGTTTTTTTTCTTTACTTGCATCGGGCTTGGTGCCCTGACCCCTGTGTTGTTCAAGGATCACTTGTACTTTGCAACTGTCCTTACAAATCCTTCTTTTATCTACAGACTATTCGGAAGTGGTGCTTACATTCACTGAGAGCTTTTATTTTAAATTAAGTATGCCTCTTTAAACCTACCCATAATAAATATTTCTAATTTTGGATTTTCTCTCTTAAGTGGAAGAATAAAAAGCAAACTCTGTTGTTTATTGTTTTTCTCTGTTTAGGTTTTTATTTTTTTAAAGAAAGGAACAAGGTGGTAGACATAGTATTTCATACCAGTTGATTTTCCTGCATGAGCTCTGCTATGAGAAAGCATGCAACATCCTAAGTAAGAAAATGTCTGCAGATAGCGATACGCAGAGGGCACTTACTTTAAAAATACATTAGTCTCAATTACCTATGATCAATATCTTCTCTGTGGTGGTTTACATTAGCGGTTTTAATCAGCTGTTCTAGGCAAGTGTGTGAGAGCCAAATGGAACTTAATTAAATACCACACAAACCATATTTTGGTTCCTCTGGATGAGAGCTACCAATTTGAAAACTGAGGTTGAGGTTGTGATCTGTATCCAGTTTCAAAGCAAATTATTCTTGCTGGACAGGGCAGGATTTGACCTCCAAGACCCCATACTTCTTTAGCGCCAGAGGAAGATGAAGAAATCAAGGTGCTTTCAGGTGACTCGGAAGGGCTTGCTCATCAGACTAAATAACCTAGGGCGTATCCAGTGAAAAAATGACCAATATCATCAGCATCTTAAAACTGTATTTTATTTCAAAAAAAAAAAAGTTGAAGGAACGAAGAATGGTTAGCTTACAAAAGAGGAAAATCATTGACCATTAGAGCTGAGAGGGACCTCAGACATCATGATTCAATCCCCTTCTGTGCAATGAGATTCAAAGAAGTTAGATCAATCAATGAAAGTCACCGAGCTGATTTGTAGAAGTGCAGAGACTAGAATGCAAGTCTTTCAACTTCTATTGCCCCAGAACCCCTTCCACAATGCCATCCTGCAAGTCCACGTTCTTTCCATTTTATGAGATAATGGTTCTCAAGAAGCATAAATAAGATGAATGCATTAAATGTTTAGGGTAGAGCCTGGCAAACACTAGCAACCACTAAGTGTTCATCCTTTTTTCACCAGTATGCCTCTTACCATAAAGACCATTAAACAAGAATAAGACTGTGGCTAGAGTTGATTGTCATCTTCAAATAAATGTCAACATATGCTTTTTGAGAAGGCTGAATTAGAACACATGAGAAAAAATTATAAATTCCTATTTCAACAATATATAAAAGAAAAAAATGAGAAAGAAAACTTTCTAATGAAGAGAATTGTCCAATAGTATAAAAGGCTATGCTTAGAGTTAAGTTTCTCATCACAGGCTGTATTCAAGATAGCCAGGTGGCAAACCACCAGAGATTCTTTCCAGGATTTTCTTAATGAATGGAAGCTAGGATTACGTTACTTTCTAGAGTCAGTCTTTAACCTGCTGGCAAGTCGGGGAGAGGAAAAGTATGTATCCAATGCAATGCTTAGGAAGTCTAATTTAATAGAAGCAATAAATAGGGAGGCAGAAATACTAGCAGGAGGCTAGCTAGGAGCTTTAGGGTTTTGAACTATCAACATAAAATTACAGAAAAATAAATGCTAGATTAACCACAAAAGCTTCAGAGTCCAATCTGCACTTATTTCACATTCCTTACAAAACTGGGCACATACTGAGTCATAAAACTCCTGAGAATTCTGTTCCTGTCCAAGTTCTCTAAAATCCCCTATAATTAGTGCTTCTGCCAATCCCAGTGGCCACCCAACAAGGGCACCAAATGATGAAGAGGCTGGGAAGAGGATGAATGATGGGTCAGAAATAGTTCGCATTCAGCTGAGAAGCTGGCGTGCCTCTTTAATGATTGTGTCTTCTCTTCTTAGGTTATGTTGACATTGGGCTCATTCCAAAAGGAGCAAGGGACATAAGAGTGGTGGAAATCGCGGGAGCTGGAAACTTCCTCGCCATCAGGAGTGAAGACCCTGAAAAATATTACCTCAATGGAGGCTTTGCTATCCAGTGGAATGGGAACTACAAGCTGGCAGGGACCATCTTTCAGTATGACAGGAAAGGAGACCTGGAAAAGCTGATGGCCACAGGTCCCACCAATGAGTCTGTGTGGATCCAGGTAATGCAGAAAGGAGAGAAACTGCTGACATCTGTGCTAGTTGGAATCTTTCTCATTTTTCCCCAAGATATTTGCTAGGGGACATTGAGAAGAATCTTAAAAAAACTTATTTTAGCAAGGAGCAGGGAGGGGAATGAGATATTATGTTTGTGCTGTTAATCCTTTGTTGCCTAGATATTGCTGAAACCCTCATAACAAAATGCAAGGTGCTCTAAAACCACCCACTGGGAAATCTGAGTTCCTCAAGTCTATTGTCACTGTTGCATGGGTTTCTAAGTAGCTTTCCAGCAGTGGGGATAAACTGACATGTCACTGTATGTTGTCCTCAGGCAAAGCATTCGGTTTTGTGAAATTCTTGCTGGAAGGAGGAGTTAGAATATGGTATGTGCTCTTCAAAGGCACAAGAAATTAGTCTTTCACATCGGGCATGGAACTGTAGGAAAAGAGAGGAATGATTATATTGAGAGCGGCAAGGCAGGTTGAGGATGACAGATGGCCAAGGAGTTAGATCCAGCCTCAGTCTACTGTTAAGAGAGACAACCTTTCTGAGCCAGATATCAAAACGCTCACAGAAGCCGAAGGTCAAGCATGGCAGCTGTGATCCATGAGTGTCAGGAGACTTTGCTTCTGACACGGGCAAGGATTTACACATGAGAATCCCCAGTCCCAGGGAGCAACCAATCCAATGCCTCTATGTTTAAGGTGAATTCAGTTTCAACATGTGATAAGTAGATTGCTTGCACGAGAGGGAAGTAAGGGGAAGATCCCAAAAGCAACATACCTAAGCTAAAGCCCATGACCATTTTAATCTCAGAACTACTATTTGTTAAAGGTACTTGCCAAGACCAGCTCAGTCATGGAGACACCAAACCCGTCGGTGCCAAAGGAATTAAGAAAGAGAAACAGAGTGTGAAAGTGGGAAGCAGAGTGGGACATCAGGAGACTCACAGCATTTCAGAGCTGAGAGCCCAGAGCAGACTCTGACCCACGTATTTATTCTTTGTGAACAAGTGATTATTTTTAATAAGCAGGTGTTCAGTGTTTCTTCACAGAATAAAGATAGACTAACCAGGCAGATGGTACCTGTTCACTAGTAAAATAGAAATCAGCTCAAAAGCACTCTTTACGAGTCAGCAGTGGGGACAAGCTCATGTATCCTGTTTTGGGAACTGGTTTAACTAGTGTATGAACGGTACATATTGCTTACTATTTAACATCTGCTGAGTGCTAACTCCACGTCAGACACTGTTCTAACCACTTTACAGGTGTTTACTCATTTAACCTCACAACAATCCTACAAATGGGCACTATTTATTACCCTCACTTTGTATATGAGCAAACTATAGCACTTACCTATATTCACAAAGCTGGGAAGTACATAAGGGCCCAAAGGGACCTGTCAGCCTATTGTTGGAAAGGACACTCGTTGCCATTTCCACAGAGTACTTCCCATATGATTTCATCTCCCCATTTATGTGAACTGAAAATCCCATGGGAATCCAGCTAACAAATAATTGAATGGAGAATATATAGCTATAGAGGTAGAGGCAGGTATATAGATATGAACTTAGACACAGACAGAGGTATAGACATAGGCAGAGACATAGGCAGAGATCCATTTAATGGCATTTGTTCCAGTGGATGCTCCCATAACCAATTTTAGATGACTGACATTGCATGGTCTTTTTACATGACTGGCTTACGGTATAGAGTCATGACGCTTTGACATGACCCCTCTCTTGCCTTTTAGCTCCTATTCCAGGTGACTAACCCTGGCATCAAGTACGAGTACACAATCCAGAAAGATGGCCTTGACAATGATGTTGAGCAGCAGATGTACTTCTGGCAGTACGGCCGCTGGACAGAGTGCAGTGTGACCTGCGGGACGGGTGAGAAACAGCTGCTCAATAGGAAGCCACACCAGCCTCAGAGCCGGCTGCAGAGGCCATTAACCCAGTGATTTGCTTTGCGCTCTGTGCTCGTGCAGATCCACCGAGATGGCCGAGGCCTCTGTGGACAGTGAGCATTCAGGGGCATGGTTTGAAGAGAGGCAGCTTTTCTTTTATCAGCTCTATATACTGGCCTTTTGTAAAATGAATAAAAACTTTGATTTTTTTTTTAATCCGCTCTATAAAAGGCCAGTAAAAGGTTTTGTTACGTGTCAAACAAAAAGCATTAACAACAACCATGTCTCTGGTTGAGGATCTGAGGAACACAAAAGCGGGACAACTGCTCAAACATGTACCATAAATCATGGCCAAATTCAAACCATAACTAGCTCTTCTGATGTTCTTACTCCCAGTGTTCTTACTCCATCTCCTATTTATCCATTTTTATACATATAGCCAGAGAGTAGCTTTCTCTCACAAAATCAAGCACTGGAGAAGTTCACTTGCTGCCAAGTATTAGTCAGGATGGAGTAAGTTCTGCACAAGAACAAAACAAATTGAAATCTTAGTAATTCAACACAATGCAAGTCGATTGTTAACTCATTGTATGTCTGAAGCAGGTTGGAAGGCTCTGCTTCATTTCCTACATACGACATCCAAAACACATGACTTCCAGCTTGCCCCATAAGGAAAGAAAGAGATGAAAGAGGCAGCCTGGCTCTATTGATAGCCTTGGTCTGGAAATGCTGCTAGTCACTTCCACGCATATCTCATTGGTTGGTCTTAGTCACATGGGCACCATCTAATGGCAAAGGGAGGCTAGCAATCATGGAGGGGCACGTGGACATTTGAGGAGCATGGAATCTCTCTGCTGCAGTGCTGGATGAACTTTCCCAAAGCCCGTGAAGGCAGGGGTCAGGACCTGTTGAATACTTGAGGCTATATCACTCACTTAGGGGGCCTCCACCTCTCTCTCTCCTTTGGGTCATGTCTAAGTCTGTTCTGAAACTTCTTGCCTCTAGCCTGTAAGTGCAACCTGCAAAACTAGGGCAGCTACAGAGTGATGTGCCAGAATTGGTGACATAGCAAAAAAGGAAGAAAAGTGAAGCAGTGAATGGACCAGAAGACCATGGCCCACTCCACAACAGGCTTCCCTCTCACATACCTGGTCTCTGCGTCACCTGCTCACTGACTTTCCCACCCCTGAGAGTTGTGCACCATCAACCTCATGAACAATTTTTGTATTATCAACTTCTTTCTTTCCCCATTTCAGCATAGAAAACCAGGGTTAGCTTTTAGAATTCATAAGAATAAAATACCATAATTTACTTAAAATATTTTCTCTTGTGGAAAAAAGAATTTAACAATGTGACAATTTTACAATGCTAACTAACCCCTGAAAATCTGCCAAGGTCAAAGGCGCAGCCATGGGTGGTGCTGATAGGTGAGTCAGTCCTGCCATTCCTACCACTGCCTCCAGTGTTTCCAAACGCACTGCCCACCACTGCCCAGGGTACGGGGCTGGGCAAAGGCAATTTAAGCAGAAAATAACTGGGTAAGAAAAACTTCCTGGCCGGGTGCGGTGGCTCAAGCCTGTAATCCCAGCACTTTGGGAGGCCAAGGCGGGTAGATCACGAGGTCAAGATATCGAGACCATCCTGGTCAACATGGTGAAACCCCGTCTCTACTAAAGATACAAAAAATTAGCTGGGCATGGTGGCGCGTGCCTGTAATCCCAGCTACTCAGGAGGCTGAGGCAGGAGAATTGCCTGAACCCAGGAAGCAGAGGTTGCGGTGAGCCGAGATCGCGCCATTGCGCTCCAGCCTGGGTAACAAGAGTGAAACTCCGTCTCAAAAAAAAAGAAAGAAAGAAAAACTTCCCCTGAGGAGCAATGGGAGGAAAATGAAGTCATTGTGACTATAGTCATAAATACTTTGTCGATTTGTCATCCCCTGTGTTCTCATCTTTCTATGAAGTACAAGTTTAACTCTAAGTCATTAGCCCCAAGACACCATAGAATGAAACAGCCAATGCTGATGACAGGGACTCCTGAAAGAAACAAGAGAACATCCTCCACTCTCTTCTATTTCAAGATAGAATGGACCCTTTGCATCACACACAGAATATTTCAGAGCAGCAGGTATCAAGAGATAAGTGGATGACGTGTGCAGCAATAATAAAGAGACATCTGAAGTCAGCTAGGAAATTGGACATTCTTACCAGATGTGAATCAGACATTTGGTTTTGTTACAGCCTAAGCCTTCAGCAGCACTTCCACCTACCTAGGTAAATGTCACTCTGATTACTAAGCCTTACTGGGAAGGATGACAATGCTCATATGCTCACCTGAACTTCAGCTTTAGTGAGGGCGAATCTTACACTGGCAAAGGAGAAAGACAGCAAGATTCATAAACATAAATGATGAAATGCTATTATTCACACAGGACACACCACTGCTAAACATAGCATTGGAAGCCTTCCTGAAATGCTGAATAATTCAGTGATGGATTTTTATTTTATTTAAGCTAAAACCTTCAACACTGTAAAAGTAAGCCAAACACGTTACTGAAACATGAAAAACTGTCACCCCCTAACACATGTACTTTTGCTACTTTGCTTTCCTTTCAAAGCATTTTTTTAAATCGTAGATGTATATAGTTGTGTGCATATGTATGCATTTATGCACATTGTGTATGTACACTTATATTTTCACTTATCACAATAGGGTGCTATTATGATTCCTTATTGCTGTTCTGATGAGCATTTGAGGACCCGTGTAAAAAATGGTCTCCTTAGTTTTAATTTCTATGTGAAAAAAGTCTAGATTCAAAGAAAATAAATATTATAATTAACTTCACCAAATTATCATATAATATTAACTTATTACCAACTTGATTTCCATAGTAAATGGGTTTAAAATAGGTAGTAACAATCATTTTTTAAATTACTGCATTACTTTAGTTTTACTGAGAAACATTTCAAACATACTAGCAAAATAGAGAATGTAGTAACAAATTCCTTTGTGCTAACCACTCAGCTCTATTGCTATTACCATTTTGTTGTTTGTTTCAGTCTTTACTTTTAAAGATAAAAAAAGAAAATCCCATCTCCACTTTCTTCACTTTTTTCCCAGAGTTAACTAGGGTCATGAAACTAGTGTTTATTATTCTCATGTGTGTGGTTAAATACTTTTACCATGTACGTGGTTAAGTATGTATAGCCATACACATTATATAGAATTGTTTCTCAGGCATGTAATCTTTCTGCATATAACATCATATGCATTAAATCATTCTTTGTCTTTTTTCCCTCAACATTATGCTTTTGAGATAAATCCACATTGATTAAAGTAGCTCTAGTACTTTTTTTTTTTCCTGTGGCCCAGGCTGGAGTGCCATGGCGTGATCTCAGCTTCCTGAGACCTCTGCCTCCGGGTTCAAGTGATCTCTTGCCTCAGGCCCCAAAGTAGCTGAGATTACAAGCTTGTACCATCACACCCAGCTAATTTTTGTATTTTTAGTAGAGATGGAGTTTCACTATGTTGATGGTCTCAAACTCCTGACCTCAAGTCATCCGCCCACCTCGGCCTCCCAAAGTGCTGGAATTACGAGTGTGAGCCACCATGCCCAGCCTCTCATACATTTATCTTAAGGGTTGTGTACTATTCTATTACATTAATATATCATGATTTATTTATACATTCAACTATTTTGCAACTATAAATCTTTCTGCAATTCTGTAATGAATATCTTATAATAATTCCCTTATTACTTCAGTATTTAGGCTTCTTTAATTTGTATACCTAAAAGTAAAATTCCTGGGTCATATAGTCTGTGTATATTGTGGGAATAAACCCGTGAACTCATAGGGTGACACTGAATATTTTATATTTTCCAGGGAAACAACAAAATGTTAAAGGAAAACACAGCAAGAGTTAACATTTCTTGGACCATGTGTCCACTGCTAGCTCGAGGTAGTTCAAGGTTAGGTAACACTACATTCTTTTTAATGACATTCTATATTTGTGAAACTGGTTTTTCAGTGGTTGCTGTTTTTAAAATATCAAGTACCACCTGAAAATCAGTGTGAAACTGAAAATGGGTATCTAGTCTCATTCCAAGATTTGAAAAGTTGTACAGTATCCAATAGACACATACATCTCGAGTGTAACTTAATTTAAATTAAACAAAAGTACTACTTTGTTTTTCAATTTACGTGTATTATCTTTTTCAGATGACTACTAAGTTGTTGGACCATAAATCCTTATTAAGTTGGTACCTAATTATTTAATGAATGGAACTGTTCAATGTTTTATTTTGCCTAGAGGCGCCATGAAAAATTACCAAAACACAAAGGGCACTATGAATCAAAAATGTTGCAAGTCCCTGTTCTAGTCTTTGGCTTGTCTTTCTCACATCTGTAATCCCAGCACTTTGGGAGGCTGAGGCGGCTGAATCACCTGAGGTCGGGAGTTCAAGACCAGCCTGACCAACATGGAGAAACCCCGTCTCTACTAAACATACAAAAAAATTAACTGAGCATGGTGGTGCATACCTATAACCCCAGCTATTCAGGAGGATGAGGCAGGAAATCATTCGAACCTAAGAGGGAGAAGTTGTAGTGAACTGAGATTGTGCCGTTATACTACAGGCTGGGCAACAAGAGCGAAACTCTGTCTCAAAAAAAAAAAAATTTATGTTAGCGACTCATTTATATTAAGCGGAACTCATATTAAGTAGAAATATTACACTTTGGGAGGCAGGAAATCACTTGTGCCAGGATTTTGAGACCAGCATGGTCAACATGGTGAAACTCTATCTCTACAAAAAATACAAAGCTTAGCCAGGCATGGTGGTAGCAGTGGTAGCTGCAGTCCCAGCTTTTGTGGGGGCTATGGCAGGAGGATTACTTGCGCCCAGGAGGTTTAGGCTAGACCCTGCCACTGCACTCCAGCCTGGGCAACAGAGTGAGAACCTGTCTCAAAAAAGAAGAGTTAAAA